GCAGATTCCGGCTTCTGGGGGAACGTTCTCCTGCCACCTCATTGAGAGAGTGAGGGAGGAAGAAAAAAGAATTGGTGCCACGTGAGGCGACACCGAGACTGTGCGGCAGGAAGTCGGAATCTGACACCACATCTAATGAGCCCGTTATTAGAGGCTCTTGGCAGAGTGAGGAAAATGGAGCGCTAATGAAGAGCAGGTACAGAGAGAACGTAGCATGGCTCCATTGTGCATTCCCTGTGAGTCATGGAGCACAGTTTGCAGGATAAGCTGGATTTGCCCTTGAAACAGGACTTGCATGCATTTGTGTGAGAAGGAGCTGGGTAACAGTTGCAAAATTCACAGCTGTTTAAATAATACAGTGGAGAAGCTAAGGTTGAAAGAAACTGTAAGCTCACTGTAAAGATTTAGTTTTTCTCCACCCCCAGCTTTCTTGTCACATGGCCTTACTTTGTTGGGCATGGAGGCCATGGGAGAGGTCTGGCTGAGCCAGCCTCCAATGTTCAAAAATGATTGCCAGCTCCTTCATCCAGGATGTACCCAAGTAGGAACAGAAGCGACTAACGGTCTCTGTGGCTGCAGCTCAGGGGTTGGGGTGGGAGTGGTGAAGAACACTTGGCACTGAGGGGTTTGTGTACCCCAATTCCCTGCTTTAGTGTTTGAACTCTTTATTGCCCTGCTCTCTTTGCACAGTGAGTGTACATTAACAAGAAGATGAGCACACACACACTTGAAGTGACTGTGTTGATCCAGGGGAACTACATAGATCGGGTTTTGCCTTTTCTGTTCGTTGCCCTGGAAGCAAACCCTTACACTATTGAGACCTTCGGCCTTCTGTCTGTCCATCCTTCTAGTAGCCATGTGTCTCAGTAGGGGTTGGGACAGGCATCGAAACCCTGCACTTTCATGATGGTAGTAGGCCCTGGCACTACTTACTTGATATTCACCTGAGTCAGTGCCCATGCTAAAATCTAACATATAGACATAAGAATTTTCACCTGGTGGGAGTTTTAGGTTCTAGGGCAGCTGTCCAGGTGGCCGTATTGTATTTATTCTACTTACTTGCTAAGCTGGGAACAAACTTCAGAATTCATTCAAAGAGGCTCCTCATTCCTCCAGGTTGTTGTTCACACGTGCCCTAATAATGACACCAGCCCTGACCACTTGACATAAAATCATGTCTTTACTTCTGCTCAGTGCCATCACCATCTGGTCCTTCCCCCACGATGTGTCCCCACCGTGAGAACAAGAGCTTTCTGGTCTGGCTTTATTTTATTTGCTACACCGTTCTCAGTAGCTCTTCCAGAGCGGGACTACCCTGCGATCCCAGAAGAAATTCAGGGACTAAAGGCAAGAATAGCGAGAGCGTGCTGAAACAACGTGTCGCCGACGTCTGTAGAAAGGCTTCCTTCCTAGAAGAAAGAGGGCATCTTTTCGTTTCCCAGTTTGTTAGAGCACGTGCTCGTGTAGAAGGTCACAGGCTTGCTCTCTCACGGCTCACAGACTGGTAAAGGATGCAGGAATTTAAGATCCAGGTCAGGCATCAGCCCCTCCAAGAGACCTTTCCTGAACACCCCTTATGCCTTCCCAACCTGGATTAGTGCAGTTCTCGTGATTCCCAGTAGCAACCCACGTGGGGCTTTATCATAGCACAGATGTAAAGCAGATAATTACAGTCCAGCCCACTTCCTCCCCCTTTCTAGGCAAAGGCACTCACCACTGAACATAGTGTCAGAAGCATGATGAATAGTCAATGAATCCATGCATGTTACTTGGTATTGCTGCTGTTTGCTTAGTAGCCAGCATATGCACATGTTCTAAAGGTATGTAGGCTCAGAAGCAGCTCTGCACCATGGTATGTAACAATTGTTGGTATTAATATTTCATGTTAATATTCTAGAATCTTCTCCTTTATAGGCTCCCCTTATGGTCTGAGAAATGCAACAGTTGGCTGCAGAATTTTTGCAGATAGTTTTGGGAAGAGCTCCCTGCATCCCTGACTGCAACCGAGGCTCTAATTTACTTTAAAAACTATTTTCCATGTTGGCAAGATGGCTCACTGAGTAAAAAGGCCTGTCGTTCAAGCCCAGCAAGCTGAAATTTACCCCCCGAACCCGTGGTGGAAGGCGAGAACTGCCCCATGACAGGTGTTCTCTGGCTTCCCCACTAGTGCCATGATGCCCCTCCCCCAGTAATAATAACATCAATAACAATAATTAGATAAACAAAGTTATATGTTAAAACTTGTTTTCCACGTGCCTGGAACATCTGCTTAGTTCTAAGGAAGCCAGTCGGAGACCTTCTAAGTGAGCACTTGTGGACGCTGCCACTTTGATGTGGCTGTTTTGATTCAGGGCTTCTGGGACATTTTTGTCACAGCCGGAAAAGCAAACCATTAAGCAAGCAGCAGCAATTTTGTATAGCAAAGACATGTGTGCAACAGGCACAGAGCCTCTTCTCGGGGGCCGGGTGCAGATGAACCTAATGTCTGGGTGTTTCCACTCCGCCGTGGCTGTTTTGATGCCGAACGCTTTCATGACACCATGTGGAACTTGCCAGAATGTTTGCTTTCAGTACTTGCTAGCCTTGTTTTGATAGAGAGAGTGGGTCTGATTCTAATTTCCATGGCATCAGGGTACAAAGCAGAAGGCAAGAGGGTTGATGGTCTCGAGGGAGAGGTTGCCAGAGTTTGGGGAGGAACTGGTTAAGAGAGTATGCTTACTATCTCAGAACACGTGAGGCCTCCATCCCTCACTGGCCATTCTCTCTAAGTTTTGAGCTTCATTTTACTTTACAGTTCTGTCTGGAGAATTGTTTAAAAATGGAAATAGAGCCCAAATGTTCACCTAGAACTATGGTCTGTCTATGTTAAAGAGATCATTCTGATCGTTTTGTCCTGCTTGCTGCGTGAAGCACCTTCTGCCTGTTTTCACTTGGCAGTGAAGGAAGTGGTCCCGGTTGCTCGCCGACCCTGGTGAACACAGGGAGCCAGCCATACTGCTCTCTTTTTGTGGGTGGTCAGAGTGACCCTACGTGCCCACACGTGGCAGGAAGTCAGAGGTTGCCTGAAACAGCAACGTAGGAAGTAGAATATAGGGGCCACTAAAGAAGCTTTTGGGTTTTGGATACTTAACTCTCATCTGAGTATCCTGCCAGACTATGAAGTACTCTTCCTGATTTTGGGGGCATTTTGGTAGCAAACACATTAAACAGCTTGTTATGAAAAATGAGCCATTGTGCTTGGGCCAGAGTTTCAGCTCTGAGCTAAATTCTCAGCATCTTGTTGGATGCTGGGCAACTGGATAGAGCCTTTCACTTACTGGCTTCTTTGCTAGGAGCTTGAGGAGTCCTGTCTCTTCCTCCTGCGCTCTGGAGAAAGAAACTGCCCACGGCAGGCACCACGCTAGTGTATTTTGTTGAACATTTGTGTGTGTGTGTGTGTGTGTGTGTGTGTGTGTGTGTGTGTGTTGTCCAGGTGGAGGGTGCACATGTGTGTACACGTGTCTGCATGTGGAGGTAAAAGGTCATTCTCCAGGTGCCATCAGCCTTTCTTTTCTGAAGCACGGCCTCTCCTTTAGTCTGGAGCTCACTAATAGGCTACACTGTCTAGCCCACAAGCCCCAGGGATCTACCTGCCTGTGCCTCCCAAGCCCTGGCATTACAAATGTACACCACCACAACCAGATTTTTAATGCAAGTTCTAGGGACATACACTCATGTCTCCCTGCTGGCAGGGCAAGTGTTTTACTGACTGGGCCATTTCTCCAGTCCCCCTTCACTGAATTGTCATGAAGGAGTATCAGAGTCTTCCTTCCCCATATTATAATCTGGGGATTATAATGTAACCTGGCTCTTCCCATATTAGAAATCTTTAGAGCCCTGTCCAGTGCCTCCAGTTAGAAAGAGAGGCACACCCTGAACACTAGCTAGCAAGTGCTAGAGTGAGGACTAGACTCCTGAAGCCCCCACTCTCCCCATTACCGTCCTGCTCCTGGCAAGCCATCCCTCTGCAGGCAGACATCACTTCCATGAAGGTTTGTCTAGTCTAGTAAGAGGACCGGAGCAAGGGTAACGCCCTACTTCTTTGTCACGCCGTCTGTCGATGATGTGTCCTTCCAGGTGTTACAGTCTTTTCATCTGTTTTGTTTTCATCCACCAAATGATGGCGTTTGCAAACAGAAGCTACCAAACATGTCCCCAGTCTATCAAAGTGAAAACGTGCACGCTTGGTTCTAAAAATCTTACTGGCCTAGGAAGTGCTATAGCAGGGAGGGGGCAGCAAGGTTCTCACTTCCCCTTCAGGGGTTCTACTGGGCACCCACGATCGCTGGTGTTCACTTGGGGTGGGTCATCTGGAAAATGGCTGAGCTGCATCCGAAGATGATAGTGGTCAAAACGCTGCCTGCAGCCATCCTGCCTTGACTGTGAGTGGCCTTGACTCATGGGCAGTTTAGCAGAGCTCTGATTATACAAGCGACATTTCAAAACCGCAACTGACTGAACTTTCTTTTAGCTGTGTACAGTGGTTTTTCCGGAAACAGAGGGAAGGCCCGAGTTACCTGCAGGTGTGGCTTTCACCTGTGTAGGATGTGGAAGATTTGAACTCGGGGGCATTCTAGTTTTGATGTAATTCAGGCCACAACTTTCCTGAAAAAACCCCCTCCCCCACCATTAAGAGAATGAAAAAGCTCACATTTTGGAACTTGACGTATCTGGATACGAAACTTAATGTCCTATAGATTTTAAAGCCTTAAAACGGAGTAGAGACACTCCCTTCCCAGACTCAGCATGGGCGTGACTCTTGGGAAACCCTACTAGTTTTCATGGTCCTTCCCTTTCTTATCCAGAGTAATGGGGGGTAAAAGTGTCCATGTGCTCTGCAGGTCAACTGGAATCCAGTTGTGCCCCCATTACTCCTTTTTTTGTCCCCCCCTTTGCCCACAGGAGACCCCTTTTGCCCCAGCCCAGGGAGTCACTCATCACGCGCTTCGTTTCTGTTGCAGTGCCAACAACATGCCCAAGCAGGTGGAAGTGCGCATGCACGACAGCCACCTCGGCTCTGAGGAGCCGAAGCACCGAAACCTGGGACTGCGCATGTGCGACAAGCTGGGGAAGAACCTCCTGCTCTCACTGACGGTGTTTGGTAGGTGCCCGAGGTCTCTCCCCTCCTTTCTCCTGAGGGCTCTCCACCCCTTCCTCCCATGCTCTCCTTATTTGTGGGGGAGCTATCCTCCCAGAGAGTGCTCCCCCAGGAAAGGAAGCCTCGTGTCCCATCGAGGCCCAATTAGGCACTGCTGCCTCAGTGGCAAAATCTACCCCTAAACCAACTCTAGGCATCTGCTCTGCTCTGCAGTCTGTGGTTCTCCATGACGTGTGTGTGTGTGTGTATTTCCTGTGAGTGTGAACATGCAGGTTCCCGGCCACACCTGTGGAGATGATGTTCTGAGCTGTTGGGAGAGAGGCCAAGGAATGCTGCAGACCTTCTGGTGATCTCCACGCAGGCAGTAGACCACATTTAGAGAAATGCTTACATCAACATAGGGACAACAGGGCCAGAAAACCTCACTAAAAGGGACCACAAGATCAGGACTTTGCCAGAAGCATCATTGACTTCGATTAAAGTTGAAGTAGGGAGTATGGAAGAGGCTCATTCCGATGCTCAGATATGTTCTGAGTCACCTTGGAGGCTTGCCTCCCTGCTTCAGGCCTCATTCTGGTGTGATTCTTTGGTCTGAGCTGTCAACACAATCTGGGTCTTGGGTTTTCTACAGGGTATGTTGAAACACAGAGCAAATGGCAGTTTCTTGTAATGATAGCCACACAGTTTCTCTTCTCAATTCTCTCCTTGTTCTTCGGCTCTCACTTAGGCTACACAGAGAAGCAATTAAAGTTCATCCTCCCACCTCCGTGCCATCTCAGCTGCCAGTGGGCTAGAATCAAAACTGTGATTGCCTTAGTTCCCTTAGAAACAGGGAACCACAGCCATGGCTGGGTTTTTAAGAACCACCCACTATGTAATCCAATATCATTCATCGTAGGACTTGAAGATTGACATGTGGAGGAACACTCTGTCCTTCAGGAAAAGGAAAAGCTCTGTCCTTCAGCTGTATCCCTCACTGCACACCCCCAGATTCCACTCCATGACCCATGTGACTGGCAACTCCTTGCCCATCACCAAGGGGACTATGGTCTAGATTGCAGCTTTTGCTTTTGTGGCTTAGCTTGGCCACCCATTTTCAACAGTCTAAGGGTTTTTCTGATGGAATGTAGGAGTCTGTGAAGCAAACAGCATCTCTGCAGGCATCTTGGCTCAACTTGACTCCTCCCAGATTATAGATCATCGGAGCCCTGTCCTATGCCTCTGGCCTCCAGCTAAAAAGGAAGACATACGCTAAACACAAGATCACATTGCCAGATCTGGCTGAGAGAAGAGACGATACTGCCTGCTGGGAATGGGTTCTTCTGGGAATTTGTAGTGCTCTGTGCAATCAATATCTCAAAAGATGTTGGAGTCATGTCTTTATATTTTCCCCCGTGGAGTGTTGAAAATGTTCTCTGGGTTCCCGTAGTGTTAGGATAGTTGGAGCTGTTACAGAAAGGTATCTTGCTAGTTGTCAAAATCAGTTTCCCTATGTAATGTCTTTATTTTGTAGTATTCATAGTCCGTTAGGCAGACACATGAGAAAGATGATAATTGGTGATAGGAATCCTTTGAGCTGTCCATTTGACTAGGGCAAAAACTGAATTCAGATTTCCTCTTCCGCTTCTTCAACAGGTGTCATCCTGGGGGCAGTATGTGGCGGGTTGCTTCGCTTGGCATCTCCCATCCACCCTGATGTGGTCATGTTGATAGCCTTCCCCGGGGACATACTCATGAGGATGCTGAAAATGCTCATCCTCCCTCTCATCATCTCCAGTTTAATCACAGGTGAGAGCCCCTTGCTGGTACCTGCCCAAAGTGCAGCGTAGCCCTACCCTGGCTTTTGGGTTCAAAGTAGAATTTCTATTTGGCTGAGACAGTGGATGTGACTGCATCATTGCATTTCTGAGCTTTGTCCTGTCTCTAAGATATGAATCATTGGTCCTAAAATAGAAAAAATACCATCTCTCATTCACTCAGCCTTTCCTTCTAACAGCCAGAGATATAAAGGAACAGCTATATATTAAAAGTGATGGTATCTTGTCATTTCATTTTTAGTATGTTAAAAATATGTTTTATTCAGAAACTGATATAGGAATTGAAAAGGTACACTGCCTTTATTATTTACTTGAGTATATGGGAAGATATGAATTGAAAAGAGATTAAATGCTAGGCATAAAAGCTGAGGGGTTTTAAAAGAATTATATCCTTAATATGTGATAACATGCTTTCTTATTATATTTTTGGCTAAAAGAATTAATTGAGTTTTTCCTATATTTGAACTTATATTGATAATTTTTTTCTTACCAGACAATATTATTGAAACAGGGTATGATGTATTGCTTAGTGACTACTTTGGAGTTAAGAGTTGAGTTGCCAAGCTGGTTCATAGCTAGGTGCCAAAGAGCCAGGTGACCCTGAGAGCTGTCCTCTGCACGGATCCCCCTTTGTCCAAACAGGGCTCAGTGTCTCCAGCTGACTCAGACGCTGGACCAGCTGCCCCACAGCCTCACCGGAAACACTGGGTTTCAGGTTCAAGTGTTCAGGGACCTAGTGAGTCTGCCATCATTAAACCCTGGGTTGAGTGACTCTGTGCTTCTCTCCAAACCAGAGAAAATGTCCTCCTGGCCTGTTCAGCAGATCTCATGCAGGCCAGCTGGGAGAGACCTGGCTTCCTTTGCCCAGAATTAGACTTGGGGTTGTAGAGAGAAGTGGGTCATACATGGGTCAGGTTGATTCAGAGAGATTCACACCAACTTCCTCCCCCACATGAAAAAGGGCAGATCCCCAGAAAGGAGTTCGATTTCTCTCTTCAGCGAAGGTAGGAACTGAAACCAGGAAGTGGGCACACTGAAGAAACATCTGGAGAAAACCCGCTGGAGGCTGAGGTCTGTATGACTTCACTTGGAGTTCCCTCTCACCTCCCTCAGTTCAGATGCCGCGCGCACACACACGTTGCCGCTGGCAGCTGCTTCCTACACGTGCTCTCTGGTAGCCGCATGAGGTTAGACGTGAGGACCACAAGGTTTCAACGCAGAGAGAGGGGAGGACCTTGCTGATTCTCCATTTAAGTCTCTAGTGATGTATTCTAAAGACATTTGAACATGACCTTGATGTCCCAGCTTTTGATTCTCCTAAATAAGGACAATAAATAGTAATAGTAACACACTAGAGAAACACTGGCCTCAGCTAGACCATCACTTCAGAGAAGATAACTTAAGGTCACAAAAATGGAAAAGACATTATCTTGGAATTAAAAATGGAAAACTCTTCCATGTTTTTTTCACATGTGTGATAGTGACTGATGGATGGTATGTAAATCATACGGCCATCTGTAAACTGAGCCAGTTGTCACCAGCTCTCCCCAGATCTCAAGAATCTCAAAAAATATCTTTAGAAAATAGAAATGTGTAGAATTGGTCACATATTTAGTAGGAGGACTGTTAGTTGACCACTAATGTATCTGAATGATAGGAAACCAAGGGTTGCAGATACATAGAGGTGGGGACGTAGGTAGAAAAGAACAGAACTGATCTTTCTGGATTTCTTCTAAACCCAGGGTTGTCAGGCCTGGATGCTAAAGCCAGCGGCCGCCTAGGCACGAGAGCCATGGTGTATTACATGTCCACGACCATCATTGCCGCTGTGCTGGGGGTCATCCTGGTATTGGCCATCCACCCCGGCAATCCCAAACTCAAGAAGCAGCTGGGGCCCGGGAAGAAAAACGACGAGGTGTCTAGCCTGGATGCCTTCCTGGATCTCATTAGAAATCTCTTCCCGGAGAACCTGGTGCAAGCCTGTTTCCAGCAGGTAACCCAAGCCCTCCAGTGTCATCCCTGTCCAATCTCCCACCTAATCTGTGATAGCGTAGAGACAGCTTTAAATCCGAATAGCAATTTTCCTAGTATTTATTTATCTCTGCCAGGCCCAAGTGTTGTGCAAAGTGCTCTGGGGAAGGGTTCTAGGCTTGGAGTCAGATGGCTTGATTTCCAGAATCACTGTGGCCTGCCCCTTAATGTCTTGTCACTCTGAGACTCATTTTTTCCTGTTTCCCGTTTGTTCCTGTCTCCGAGTTACACATAAGCACATTTTTACCAGTCTCATTCACAACCCTCTAAACTGCCTAATGGTTCTCAATTCTGTCTCAAAGCTCTATGCAGTCCATAAAGAAAAAAGATGCTGATTTCGTGGGGCCTACAAAATGAGAATCTATAATCCATCCTCAAGATGACACAGGGCACTGAATATAATTTTTTTTGTTGTTTTGTTTTTTTTTGAGACAGGGTTTCTCTGTGTAGTTTTGGTGCCTGTCCTGCAACTCACTCTGTAGCCCAGGCTGGCCTCGAACTCACAGAGATCTGCCTGGCTCTGCCTCCTGAGTGCTGGGATTAAAGGCGTGTGCCATCACTGCCCGGCTTGAATATAATTTTTTTAATTGTGAAAACAGCATGAATCCATAAACCTAGCCCTGGGGAGGCAGAGACAGGAGGATCCCTGGGGTTTTCTGACCAGATAGTGTAGCTGAATCTGCAAATTCCTGGTTCACTGGGAGAACCTGTCTCAAAACACAAGAGGGAGAAAGACCAAGGTAGGCACTGATGTCAACCATTGGCCTCCATATGCACTTTCACACACATGTGCACACATGCACGCACGCACGCATGTACACACGTATGCACTCACAACACATGCACACACAAGCTTATAACTTTTAAAAATAGATAATTCTGCTAAGTGAAACCACTGAGTCACCAGCCAAGGCTCCACTCACAACCTTGTTTTCTTCCCACAGGGCCAGCTTAGGTTGACACACACCTCAGTCCCCATTAGCTCATGAAAAGACTAAACTTGAGCCCATGTGTCTCCTTCAGCCCTTCTCAGGGAACCACTGAAGAATGAAGTTATGAGACAGGCAGCTTAGCAGAAAAATCTGGATTTCCAGCCCTCAGAGTGCAGTGACAACTCCCACTGAGCCCACATCATACCAGGCTGGGATGGGTTTTTCTGATTCTCAAATTATTTTTATAAAGAAATGATGAATATTTAAAATGAGAGATATACTCATCACCTTGATTTGATAGTTATTAGTGTCTGCATGTATGGAAACATCACACACACACATATATGTATTCATGTATGGAAATATTCCATTATACACCATAAATATGTATAATTAAGTCAATATGGACTTAAGTTAAAGAACACCATTCTAGACAGGGAAAGTAGGATGTAGAGTGACTAGAAGCTGGAGAAAAGAATCGTACTGAGGTTCCCTGTTTGTCTGCTTGCTAGACTCACCTAGAAGGATGAAGTTGCTTGCTTTGGAGTGGTAAATATAAGTGGCTACTTTAGCAGGAATCTTAGAGAGTCTTATTAATAAAATCAAACCCGGGGCCAGTTATTGGGGTGAAATGCTGGATGGTCAGAGAGACAGAACAAGCCACAGCTAACCTCACCTGGTCAACTTCTCAGCTGGTCTTGTTTCCTCAGACTGGAAGCCTCTGTGTCCTCATATCCGAATGGCTCTCAGCTGAACTGTGCTGCTAGAAGCCTGAAAGCTTAACCAGCCAAATGCTGCTAGTTTCTGGTCCTCACACCTTATATACCTTTCTGCTTTCTACCACCACTCCCTGGGATTAAAGGCTCGCTTTTTGGGATTAAAGGCGTGTGTCACCATGCCTGGCCGTTTCCAATGTGGCCTTGAACTCACAGAGATCCAGAGGGATTTCTACCTCTGGAGTGCTAGGATTAAAGGTGTGAGTGCCACCATTTTCTAGCCTTTGTATCTAGTGGCTGTTCTGTCTCTGACCCCAGATAAGTTTATTAGGGTGCACAATATTTTGGGGAACACAATACCACCATAGGCTGCCGAGTCTATTTTGAACATTTCAAAATGTGTGTTTTGGACCTATAGATCCTGGGAAATTAGCTAAGAAAAAACAGATGGGAGGGCATGAGATATCCAACAGAACTAATCTACTTCCCGTGCCTGGTCACATCTCAGATACCTTCATTTCAGCCTGGAAAACAAGACCAAAAGCCCCAGGACTCAGTTACTGCTCTGATCTTGTTGGACTCAGCTTCTGTAGTGTTGGCCATAATCACATTTGGGGTCTTCCCAAAGGGTGCTGTCTGGACCCTAGGGGATAGAAGACTATATCAGGACCTTTTCTTTCCCTGCCTGACCCTACCTCTTCCTATGACAACTTAGCTTTGGTTCTCCCAGCTAAGACCAGGATCAAGATCCCTTTGAGTTGGGGCAGTATGAGGAACAGTAGTGTACAGTCTTCTACCTTGCCGTGAGAATGCGTGTAGATCTTCACCCTGACCCCAAGGGCCTTGACCAGAGGGTACCATTCTTACCGAGTAACACAGCATTGACAGAGATGGAGGAGGAAGGGGTGTTACGAGAGTCCTTTCTGGGTCCCTGTGGCCTGGCAGGGAGTGTTTTAAAATTGCCTGTCTTGGGTGAAGGGGGATTCCTGGACAGAATTAGAAACAGACGTAAAGAGAAAGTAGAACTGTTCCTAGATTGGAGGCAGCCTTCGGTCATTCCGGCTTGCTTCAGTCAGACCCTGTATGTGTGAAAGCAAGGCGGCCTCCTACCTGTTGTTTAGGGCTGGCTGAGAGGACATACGCTTCCACATGTTTCCTGTAACCTGGGTAGGCAGGCAGCACTCAGCTCAAGCAGTTACTGGTGGGTTCAGGTCAAATTCACACTCTTATTCTAAGAAAGATGGAGTCAGGGAAATGGCTGGTTTTCTGTTGAAAAATAACCAGTGTGACAGCAATGGGTATAGACAAAACTGTAAGATGCGACCTGAAGGTGGGAGGCCGGTAGGGAGGAAGGCGTGTAGGTGAAGTAGGAGACATTTGTGAGTTTTCAGGTAAGGGATGCCGGTAAGTTAACTCAGGTACTACAGCAGGTATTTAGATGGTCCAACTGCAACAGGCTCTGTGAGACCTCGGACAGAGACCTGACCGATGTGCCAGTGTGCCTGTCTCGTCAGCTGCAACTGGAACCCCTTCCTGTGCTGTTTCGAAGCTAGATTTTGGAGTCAAACATGATTCATGTTGAAGCTGGCTCCACTGACTAAGTAAAAATCAGGCCTCAGGTTAGTTACAGGACATGCTAGATACAAAGCCGTTAACTCCCAGCCTCCTACCGGATCCTGGCTGTCACCATTTACCTGGGGCCACGATAATCACTTCAGATTAATCCAAGCTTTGGCTTCTTCACCCATCTCGGGATGAGTCACCACCTTTGTTGGCTAGAGTCTGGCAGCTGCATCCAGAAGTGTCCCTGCTGGTCACCTCTGTGGTCTCTCTTCATGCTGCTGTTGACCAGAGCCTGGGCCACCCTCTCCTTGTGTCGCCAGTCTCGGGCCTCCTCTTCCCCTGCACAAGTCCATGTGGCCAGGTTAACATGGAAGGCACATGCCTCTGCCTACAGAAGCCCGCCCATCCTTCCCTCCTGCTCTCATCATCTCTGTTCTGCATGGCTAACTGTCAAACCCAGCCACAGAAGGATCAAGTCCTCCTAACTTAGCATATGGTACAGGCGGTGGGAAGAACTCAATGCTGGTCAGGCCATCTGAGTTCAAGTGTCAGCTTCGCCAATACCTATGACGTCTGAGAAGGCAGTTGACTTCTCCAGGCATCCTCTTCTGTATCTATTCAAGGTTCAGCCATCTGTCACCTTCGATGTGCCAGCACCGACATTCTAGGATTTTGAATGATTTCTATTTTAATGCCCTCGAAAGTGTTTTTTTTTTTTTTTTTTTTTGAGGCTAAGATGTGAATTTTTGCATGCAGGATGCCTGACACCTTTAAAATTAGAACCACTTCCACGGATGTCGAGGAATAGTCTGAGTGATGCTTGGGGATTATTAGGCAAGGCTTAGCTGGCTCCGCTACCTGAAAGAAGAGGATGATTTCCCACCTTATATATGAGTCACACAATCCTGGAAAGATGGCTATTGGCAGTTGTCACCCTTGATGTCCAGGTGGAGGTTCCAGCAGAGCCTGGTTTGAGAAGGACCCAAGGCCTAGGACAGGTTTCTGGTGATGTTGTACAGCAGAAGGAACAGGGTCTCACAGTTTGGAAGAGCACCAAAGTTGGACACATGACGTCATCCCCCAAACACAGGGGTGTTGTCATTGGGAGGGAAAAACAGACACATATCCCCCAGCTTCAGCAACTGTACTGCTTAGGGAGTAAATGAATTTCCTCAGTTTCGTAATGATCTTGTCAGTAGGACAGTTGCATCCTATTGCATATGCAATGAGACAACACTCTGTTGAGCATAAACATAAACTAATTCCCATTTTTATGAGCCTTGTTTTGGCTTTTCATAGTTGTAGTTAACATCCTAAAATATATGGTTGGCTAGGTTGTTGTTGACCTTTTAGACCACACCTCACCTTTATGCTTTTTCCACCCTGCTCCACTAGATTCAGACAGTGACAAAGAAAGTCCTGGTGCCACCTCAGGCCGAGGAGGCCAATACAACCAAGGCGGTCCTCTCCATGCTGAATGAGACCATGAACGAGGCCCCTGAAGAAACCAAGATCGTTATAAAGAAGGGCCTGGAGTTCAAAGACGGGATGAATGTCTTAGGTAGGCAAACTGGTTGGTGGTGCCCATCACCTCTATTCCTGACAGCGGCCAGCTTCTCCCAGGTAGCTGCCTTGTTCCTTCAGTTCTCATTCTCCCTAGCTTTCCTCTCGAAAACCCAGTAACTGCGGTCCTCTAGGTGGCGCAGGAGGCTCTCTCTGGGGAACGATATGAGGGTCACTGAGACTGAGAGCTGAACCATGAAGGAAGAGGAACAGAAGGATAGGCAGAGGGAGAACCCAGAGGGACATGGCAGCCAGTAATCAGGGATGGGAAAAGAGGAAGCAGTTGACATTTGTCAGGCACATTCCTTGACTATGTCTAGTGTGGTCAAGTCACCGTATCGAACTAACCGTTTTAGGAAGTGAGATATCCTTATCTATTATTTATTAATCATTTTTTTATGTCACTCTGCAGGAGCACCTTGCTGGTTGCCCCATCCAAGCTTTCAGTCTATAACAAATGCAGAGCTACCAGTATTGGCCAGCATTAGATTGGGGAACAAAAGGATATTGTAGAGCATCAAGTTTAACTTTCTAGGATTTCAGGGACCTCTCTCCTCAAGTGTGGTGCCTTCTCCCTACTCCATCCGAAGGTTCTCTTCAGCTGGACAGATGTGGGCTTAGGGATCACTGGTTGTCTACCCCTGGGCAAGTTGATCCACTTCTCTGAGCCTCAGCAGGAAAGTTGAAATGGGATTGGCATGGGTTTCGTAGACCGACCGTTGTAACGATGAAATGATGCTGTGCATATAAAGCACACTAGCACATGCCCTGAGTTCTGTCCAGACAAGCTCTGATCATTATTAAAAGCAAATGAAGAACCGAGGAGGAACTCAACCAGAAAACATCTCAGGAAGTGCGGGGGTGAGGTTTCCCTCATGGCATTCACTCCACATTTGCCCAGTGTTACTACCCACCCAACCACTGTAAGGCTTCAGGGTGGGCCCACACACCTCAAATTCCACCACTCACTAATATTATGATGTCAAGACAATGGGACATTTATCCATAAGATGGAAAGAATTGGAAAACTATGAATTTGTAAGCAAGATCTTGCAAACAAGGTTTCTAAGGACTCAGGTGAGAACTGTTTAGAGGGATGAGTTCAGTGGTCCTGTCCTTTTGTTATCTCAGAGATCAAATGCCCTTGTCTCCTTGGACTGCTATCAGATAAACTTGAATCTTAGGTCAATAACGAATAACAGTAATTTAGTGTAAGTATGTCTCAAGTGCCTGGGCTATTCTAAAACTAAGGAAAAAAAAGTTCATATGTATCTGGAATTCAGAATGTGATTGGGAGTCCTGTTTGATGGATTATTCTGTGCTTGGTGGTCTTTCTCCATGGATGTTCATACTGTAGAGAGGAGAGGCAGAGAAACAGGCAGCCCTGTGACTGCAGGGCTGAAGTGGATCTTTTGTGTTTGGCCTGCAAGAAAGCAGGTTGGATAAGTGAGGGTGAGGGAGGAGATAAGCTGAGTGAGTTGCCAGGCAACCAGCAATCAGTAAACACAGCTGACAGTCATTGAGAGGCCAGAGGTGGTTGGAGGAAGAAGGAGGCAGTGTGAGAGTCCCTCTGAGAAGGAGGCTTTGTAGCTATCCCTGCAGCCTCTCTCTCCACTGTAGAGATAGCTACTGTCCTTTCAGGGCCCCTACTGGTGGATCATAACTTTTGATCCCACCTCCTTGACCCTTCCTTGACAAAGTAACCCCTCCTCTCCAAAAGGTTAAAGATATAACAGGCTGATACTTAGGAGTGAACCATTCAGACAATCCTAGTCTTTTCCAGAGTCTTGATGGATTCTAGAAAGTCACATGCCCTTTGGCTGTGCTGGGGAGTTTCAAAACACTGGCAACTCGCTCAACCCCAACGACCAAGTCTAAGAGGGCTTTGTTCAAATGAAACACCCCTGTTCCAGTGAGCAATTTCAATTAGGCAATGTTTACCCAGGGAAATGGCAGGCTGAATCTTGCATTCCATCCAAGTACACAGCCAGGCACTGTGAAGCCAAGGGAAGTTAGATTGTTGAGAAACTTCCCATTTGCCAATCACAGCTAAAATAAGGTTCTTTCCATGGCCTTGCAAGGGCAGAGTTGGTGGCTTTGTTTTTTGTTTTGTTTTTCTGTATTTCTTCTCTTTGATTTTTGGAAAGTCCCAAGGACTGAGCATTGTAGTACAGGAAGATACAGCCCAGGCTCTGTCTTCTACTTCTTCAAGGACATTTTTCTCCCAAGAAACCTAGAGAGCTATAGTGCATGGTACAGCACACCTATGATTCCAGTACTTAGAAGGCTGAGACAGGAGGATGATTAGTTGAAGACCAACTTGAGTACCAATCAAGACTGGTCTCAAAAATCAGCCAAGCAAATGAACTCCCAAACCAGTTCTTGGTCCTTAACTCCAATTGCTTAAACCAGTGTCAACTGCTCCTTTAAAAATCTTTTTTTGTTTGGTTTTGTTTTTTATAAACTCATAGATATTCAAGTGTCTGTTGTCTCTGAGGGGAGCCTTCATTCTAATTCTTTTGGACCTTAAGACCTTGGACATTATCAAATAGTATTCACTAAGTAATAACTGGACTTCTCAGCCTGAGTATTCACCGATGGACTCTCTGTCATCATACTCAATAAACTGTCCTCCATGGTTTGAGAGAAGGGTGGAGGAAGAGCTGGGACCCAATTTTCCATATTACTATAAAATTAGTTCCTTCTACCCTGTATCCAGTCTTCGTTGAGCCCCATCTTCCTTGGGTCAATAACTCAATTGTGAAGTCACTAATCAATCCCTCTGGTCAAGAGCTAAGGAGGGGGGAGATATTAAATTCCAAATATTAGCAATCTCAATACAAGGGCTTCATTATTTTCACTAAAAGAGATGGGCTCCTACCAAGTGCAGTTAATTAGGTTGATGAATGTTTGGTGTAGAGAAGAAGGGTGACTTCTTTGGGGGATGAGAAAAAAGAGGCAAATAGGGGCTCAGAGAAAAGGAATTTATGTCTAAGACAATCAAATTATAATGCTGTGATATAAGCCGAAATTTCGGCGTAACTGGATATAATAAGGAAAGACTGGAAATTAGCCTTGCTAAACTGGGGCAGGGTACAGTAGGGAAGAGGCTGGAGAGGGATTAGAAGATGGCCAGTACTTCAGAGTAAGTCAAATGGACAAACAGTGTTCCAGAGCTGGGAGGGAGAATAACAACTGTGACTTATACTCCATGTATGAAGTCAGAGTTAGGTCACCAAGACTGGGGATGGATCAGGGTCCAGGAGCACATGTTTATTGCAGTTGAAAATCTAGACAGTCCCCAGGCAGTACTGAGAATACTGTTAACTACGCAGTTTGTCCAGTCCCTGGGCGTGTTGAGGTTGAGTGGGAAGGTGGGAGGGAATCTCTGGAGTCACCAGGCTTGGTCTTTGAGGAACTAAAGAACTAGGACAGGTCACCAGTTCCTTAGACAGGTGATGAGGCAGAAGGCCTGGGGTTGAGTGTTGGATTTGCTTCAGGATGTAGTGAAACAAAGCTGCCATCAAGAGGGTGGAGAGTGAGCTCCTCAAATCCTTCCTGCCTTGGGTTAGGATTGACCCTGGAGGCTGATGTGTGATTGAACTAGGATGTCAAGGAAAGAGAGAAGATGGCTGAGAAGATAGGTATTGGCAAAATCTAACAACTAATTCTACTCTCTGGCTTTATTATCCTGAAAAAGATTAATAAAAGAGAGCATGACAAGTTGGGTTTTAGAAGGGTGATTAGTTGGGGTTTCCTAGCTAGTTTGGATTTCTTGTTGTTTCCTGTTTCCTTATCTTCTCGATTCCACGTTTGCTGTGTAGCTGGAGGGGAGTCCCAGGATGACATGTACCCGCCGTGTGTTATCTCAGGACAACACCAGAAGGGTCTAGACATTTCTCCAGCAAGGGCTTTATGGACTAGATGGTCTCTGCTGCTCCAATAGTGGCTGCAAAGTTTGCGTGACCATCCCTGAGTCCCGCCAGGTTCCTCTCTGCTAATCTGTGTGGTAATGGGAGCTGTTCACACATGATTTGCTAAGTGAGGAGGAAGAGCAGGCAGGACCTTTCATTTTGGAATGAAACTGAATTCATTTTCTTCAAGGAATTCACACCTGAACTGCTTAGAGTTTAGACTGCACACGTGAGAAATGTCAAGAAAAGCAGTAATAAAGGATGGGGGTGTGGCTTTTAGTGTGGAATGTAACGGTTTCTTTCTTCTAATTCCTAATTTATTCGTGGGTGGCTGGCAAGCAGAATTGGTCCAGTACCTCAGTCACGCTGAAGAATGAGGGAAAAGGAGCACACACTCACTTGGTCACTTGTCCTGAGTAATGTTCCTCGTCCACAGGTCTGATAGGGTTCTTCATCGCTTTCGGTATTGCCATGGGGAAGATGGGCGAGCAGGCCAAGCTGATGGTGGAGTTCTTCAACATCCTGAATGAGATCGTAATGAAGCTAGTGATCATGATCATGTGGTAAGCCCACTTAGTCTGACATCATCGGAATGGTGCCAAAGCAAGCCTGGGGGTCCCCAGAGGACAGTGGAGTCCTCCCAGTATGAAAAGAGTGGGTGTGGACCAGAACGGGAGGGGAAAGGGGTGGAAATTCTCTTCCTATCTCTCTGGCTTCCCTTTCCTCCCACAGTGGTGGTCATTGGGCCAAATCTGATGTGTCACCACTCTATTTGTCCTTTGATTTGAGAATGGGTTTTATTGTTTTACATGTTCATCCCAGCTCAGGCTGCTATAACAAAGTGCTATATACTAAGTGACTTGTGCATCCCAGATATTTCTCCCAGTTCAGAAAATGGGAAGTCTCAAATCAAGGTGTCTGTGTGGTCAACTTCTAACACATTCATCTGAGTTGTGAAAGAAACAACTCGGGGGGGGGGGAGGGAAAGAGCATCCCACGTCTCTTTCCTAGAGCATTGTTTCAGTCTGTTTCTGCTGCTATAACAGCATACCACAGGCTGTGTAAAATTACAAAGGAATTTTCTTTTTTAAACCACAGGTAGGGAGACTAGGAAGTACAGAATCAGTCATTAGCATATTTGGTATCTGGTGATGGGCTGATCCTTGTAGATGATTCTTTATGTGTGCCCTCACATGGTGGGAGGGATGAACAGGCTTCACCAAGGCTCTTCTATTAAAACACTAACTCCTTTAAGAGGGCTCTCCTCCACGTGGTACATCTCCTAAACCTCTGTTCTGAGGTTATGACTCAACATGAGGAATTTGGGGGATGGAACTGTTCAAACTTCAGTAGACACCAGTCTCATTTCTTAGGGTATCGTCTAGTTGCCTCTAAAGGCCCCACTTCTACATGCCCAGTATTAGGATTTAAACATTTAAATGGGGGGAGGCAATATATTCAGTTCATTGAAATGTCTAAGAAAATAACATAAAATGAAGAAAAGGAAAATCAACAGGATAATAATGTCCCACAAGACGAGAATGAAAAGAAGTTTGCATTACCTCCACAGAACCAATACAGTGATGTGTTTGTGGTTGGTTCTCATTAAAACTTCAGGAATGAGAGGCCAACCGGAGGCTTTGAGGTTTAGTTCAATAAGATAACCAAAATATTAGTTCTGGCACGTTTACCTCATCACCTCATTGAACTTTTAAAATAGAAAGGGATAAAGGGATGCTGGTAAAATACAGTGTTCCCGTCAGTAATGGTGCTGGGTTTTCAGCTCCTCAGGTGATGCTAAATGTTTGAGTATTTATTTTGTGTAAGACTCAAGCTAGCTTGGGAATACTGTGTCCTTTAGGTCCAGCTGAGTCTTCTGCTGGCTTGGTGGGTAACGACACATAAAGCAGCACCAGCCTCTTGCTTGAATAGTAGTTCGTGTCCTTGCTGCCTAGAATTTCCAGCAATGTGCCCATCCCTGCAGTAAAGACACTGTTGGTATGAGTTACATGTCTTCCTTCCTTCACACCCCTGTCATTTCCACAGAGTCCTTGGAGGAAGTGAGGTTCTTCAAGGAAAGCTGATGAAGCATTGGAACAGGGGATGGGGACTAGGAAGTTCCCCACTTGGCAAAACCTTCACCCCTAAAGGTTTAGCACTTTGTCCCTGAGTTTAAAGAGGGCTGTAAGTCAGGCCTGCAGAAGGTTCCTTACGGGCTTCTACTACCTCGTACAGGAAGGCAGACAGGTGTTTATGATAAGAGGTCCATTCCTATCATTCTATAGATGCCTCATCAACATCACCATTTGATAACACAAAGCCTGTGGGAGGGTTCAGGGTAACATAGACTAGCACTGCTAGCTGACCCCTCAAAGCAGAAATCATCACTGTCTTAGGGTTTCTGTGGCTACAACGAAACATCATGACCAAAGAGCAAGTTGGGAAGGAAAGGGTTTACTAGGCTTACACCTCAGCATCACTGTTCATCACTGAAGGAAGTCAGGACAAGAACTCAAACAGGGCAGGATCCCAGAAGCAGGAGCTGATGCAGATCCCAGGGTGGGGAGCTTCTTACTGGCTTGCTTCCCATGACTTGCTCAGCCCACCTTCTTATAGAACCCAGGACCACCCACCCAGGGACAGCACCATCCACCATGGGCTGAGCCCTCCCTCATTGATCACTAATTGAGAAAATGTCTTACAGCTGGACCTCATGGAGGCATTTCCTCAGCTGAGGCTCTTTCCTCTCTGATGACTCTAGCTTGTGTCAAGTTGACACACAAAACCAGCCAGTACAATCAAATACTTTATGTAGTAGTACAAATAGTAAAAAGCAAAATCTAGCATTGTGAAAATAATATAATTTGCAATGTTAGTTTCATTTTTTTTAAATTATTTTGAGATACAATCTCTTGCAGCTGAAGCTAGCTAAAACTTGCTGTATAGCCAAGGAAAATTTTGACTTGAACCTCCCTCTGAATACTGGTATGCACCTCCCTGTCTGGCTTAAAAATTATGATCATTAAAATGTAAATTGGAATGATTTTTATCTTGTCATGTGTTCAAGTTCAATTATATTATTAAATTAACTCATTTATTAAAGAAATTATTATCATTAAGTCATATTTGAGATTTACCAGTTTTTTTCAATATGCTTAGTATTAATCTGTTAACTTTCCATGTTCACACTTTTTCATTCAAACAATACCTAACAAAATAGATACTTTTTCCAGATGATAACACCTAGCAAAAGTTTGTTAAGTTGCCTAGTGTCGCAAAGCTGAATTGCCCCACAGTCTCTAACTCAGTTTCTTTTCGAGTTTGAAGTAGATGAAATTTAGGAGCTTCTGGCTACAAGCTATGTGACTTTAAGCAAGTTAGAACCATTTAAATCCTAATATTCTGATTGGTAAAAGAAAATAATTGTAAAAACCGTGTCACGAAGTTGCTTTGAGAATTAGGTGAAATGGTGACCCCAGTCACTGAAACTGTTCTGTGCTCAAAAGGACCACAGCATTTCTGTGACTAGGCCTGTGGTTATTCTGTTGTGACCATTCTCACCATCAATCCAACCCTTATCTCCTGCATTTCTGTGTATATTAATCCTTCAAGAAGTCTGAAAACCCCATGGTTTTTATTGCAAGTTCCATAACCTCATTTTTTGAAAAAAATTTAAAATGTTTTTCCAAACCCTGAAAAACTTGAATAGGAAGCGAAACTTCCCATAGTCTCCTTCTATTAGAAAAAGAGGTATCTGCCCTTCCTTTGTTTCTAGTGCTTGACTATTGGTCCTCCGCCCTCTGTACTACTAAAGGAAGAAGCATTCAATGGTGTTTGTTTAAGCTGGGAAGGAGGGCTTTCTGCAGGGCTGCCTGATAGAGGATAGGGACCACAGCAATGTGCTTTTACAGTGATGGAGAGGGGCTGGGCTCAGATCCTAACCATACTGGGAAGGTGGGAATTTATAACCAATGGAGTAGGGGCACATCAAGAGTCAGAGGGATTCTGCTAAGGACCTAGCAGGATTCTTGTTGAAGTCAGGCCAGATTGGCCAGATACCACTTGGAGGGTGGTAGATCAGAGATGGAGAGCTGCACACTGAAGATGGGGATGCTTGCTAAACTGACTCGGTGGGGTTCTTTGTTGAAACAGTGTTTTAAAGGAAGGAGACAAATAGAGTAAAGATGGAGGGGGGGGATCCTGTGAAAGGTTGGTAAAGCAAAGATTTTTTTTTCAATCCATTTGTTCTTTCAATAAGTAATCCTTTCTAAACTGACAAGGATGTGATATAATGATGAGTACCACAGAGGGTTCCGGCCTTCGTGGGCCTCACATTCTCGTGAAAGGAGGGAAGGGAAGACAGACAAGATGAAACAAACAGGAATTCAGTTGGTGATACAGACAACAGAAGTGGGCTGTGGGGAAGAGTGAAGGAAGGAGGCCCGAGTGGCCAGGGTGAGCTGTGTGGGAACGAGGCATGGTACAGGCCTGGCAGTGGAAACCCAGAGGAGGACTCTGAGGAGGGGAAGCAGGGAGGGGAAGGCTTTTGAGGATCAGAACAAAGATCTGCAGCCACTGGAGTGAGAATGGTTAAAATGGTGGAAGGAGTGAAGGTGGACAGGCAGTCGGGAGTCAGAGCCTCCAGGGCTCCGTGGGCCACTGATGGGTTGGATTTCATTGATTTGTGACAGGGAGCTTGCCGGGATAGTGACCTTGTAAGCAGGACACAGAGCTGAGAATATAACCCACCTGTGGGCTGCATGGAAACACTCCCTACTTCTGTCCCAGGGACTGTGTCCTGAATTGGAAATGGACCCAATAATTACTGGGCGTCACTTGACTTCAGAACTGTTGGGTGGAGCCTTAAGCCTCTGTTTGCACTTAATTATGTATGGCCTTGTTGGTTTCATCTCAGGAGTTTGAGTGGTAACCTTGGACTTTGGGCACTTTCCCCTTTTCCATGGAATCTCATCTCCAATGAGTTCATTCATTGATATGGAAACCCAAGAATACGGTTCAAGCCAGGTGTGGGGAAGTAACGGCCCTAAATCCAAGGGCAAAGGCTCTCTTATATCCCATTAATACTTATCCAATTAGGGGTGGGCAAGTGTTTGGAGTAGCAGGGGCTAATCCACATTCCCCAACTCTTAATGGCTCACCTTGTGGCATTTGGTTAATATTCTCTATCTACAACCTTGTGGCATCTGGTTAATATTCTCTATCTACAATGGGAGCTGGTGCTTACCCCACTGCCCAAACCCCACCTGATGGGTGCTCCCAAGGTAAGCCTTGCCTCTCTCTCGTCCATCTGACTGGCTCAAATGTACTGCCCCTGGGGAACTTTGTAGCTGATCTTCCTTGGCAAAGTGCCTTGAAAACATGTTTCCTCTGTCTACAAATTACTTGACCTGAGGAGAGGAGGAGGGGGATGAAAGAAAATTGAATAGCATCCTAAATGGCTCATATCTATGTTTCTCTGGACAGCTTTAAAGGGTGATTGGTGTTAGGAAAAGAATTGACCTCTTGGTTTATGAAGATAAACCCTTCAGGGCTTTATAGGAAAGCATTTTTTTTTCAGTTATTTACAGTCTCAATGACAAAGTACTGGCCCCTGGGACTCCATAGCTGATTTATGAGGTGTTGTGATTATGGGCACACTAGAAGAATATCAAATGGGAAGAAACATGAGGGTTAAAAGACATGACAGAAGGTTTGTTTCACACTCCTATTAATGCTTAGAGAGCTGTCCTCAGCCATGGCCATCCTGTACCCCAGGGGAAAGCAAGTGAGGATCAGGTTTCCCCGGGAAGAGCAGAGCCACACTAATGCCACATAAAGTGGCTCTTTCTGAACAAGGTTTGCTTGCAAGACCATCTGCTGTTGGGTAGCCTGTGAGAGGCTTTAGAAAGCCTCATTAGCTCAGACTTGGATAAAAAAAAATGCATGGACCAGGAGAGGCCTTGGTGCCTAGGTTTGTGCAAACAGAAGCTGTCGTGAAGTTTTTCCAAGAGTAAGGAATCAAATCGGGAAGGGTGGGGGAGGGACTTCAGCAGTGTAGACAATACACATTCAAGCTTGAGCTTCCCAGCTACCTGGTGGTGCTGGAGTCAGCCCTTCTAACCCTGATGCCCACATCGGAAAAATGAGACCATGTCACCCAATGAGGTCCTGTAGTCAGTGAAAGGTTGGACAAAATCAATGTTTTCTGCATTTAAGGACTCTCATCTGCTCTCCACAGCCTTTCTTTAACTTAGGAAAGGACCAGGGGCAGGCCTGATTGCTAGAAGGAGGGACGGAAGGAAGGAAGGAAGGAACCAATGAAGGAAGGAAGGAAGGAAGCGAGAGAGAGTCTGCTTAGCAGTCCTTTCTTTCCTGACCTCCGCTGTTGGGATCCCTATCTGGGAATTTTATTTTCTTCTTTGTCATTCTCAAAAATACGTCTATAATTGTTAATGAGGTATAAATCTTCCTACATATATCTTATTTTAGTCAGACCCCATCAGAATGTGAACAAATTCATGCCCAGTAACACCTCTATTAAATACTACTACTAATTATTATTATAATAATTAATTATGGTAAAGAATGGTCCCAGACAAGCAAAAACTAAGTCAAGATGAGAGCGTTTTCCCACGAATAGGAACAGAACAGTTTCCAAGCCCTCTATAAGATAATGACAGCATACAAATGTCAATGTGGGATAAATTGGTATATGGCAGTTGTATGCTTACCTACAAGGAACTGGGAAAGTGCACTAAAAGGCAGCTGTTTGGCTTGGTGAGAAAAACCCCCACCTCTGGGCTTTCACAAAGTGAGGATGGTTCTCCTTCTGGCTTTGTGGGTTTGGACTCGTGATTGAACTTTCCCAAAGGACGGTTTCCTTAATTACGGAGCGATAATACTGACAGGCAGCTTTTAGGGCTGTGGTCAGGTTAAGTGAGGCCCTGAGTGCGCAGGTCCTGCTGTAGTGCTTGAAACACAATGAACCATGCCAGCGTTATTGCTATTATGTGGGGAGGAGCCCTTTCAGGCTTAAAAGTCGCCCAACCACATCTCTCTAAATGCACTCCTTGGCTCAGTTGCTTTTATTCTGGTAGCCCCCTCTCTCTTACTCCTTCCCTGTCTTTTTCCTGCTCTCTTCATCATTTTAAATATATTTCCTAACATCCAAGATTTTTTTTTTAAAAAATGGACATTTACAAATCACAATTTATACATTTCCAGAAAGTTCCTCAGTTCGACCCCAAATTCTAGGAAGGAATTGAAGAACAAGGGCGTCGAACAAGATTCCAGAGACACAATGCATCTCTCTCAGTCTTTAACTCAGTGTTAACTTATCTCGTTAAAAGATGACAAGACATGCCCCCTTCATTCCTAAAACTCACCTTAGCAATAAAGTTTGCCTTTGAACTTAAATCATCAGAACATGCGTCACTACATCCATAAAACAGTTAAGCCGGTCAATTCAATTGAATCTTGTGCTCATTCTCATTCTCAGCAAAACACTCTGTGTGTGTGTGTGTGTGTGTGTGTGTGTGTGTGTGTGTGTGTGTGTGTGTAGTAGAATAAATAAATAAATAAAACGAGAAAGGGTTTTCCTCCAGGTGCAGTTCCCAGGTGGGATTTAGGTCCTGAATTGCTTGCTTAATGATCTCTTCCATGTTATTGTTTTCTTTTGTGTTTTTCAGGTACTCCCCGCTGGGTATCGCCTGCCTGATCTGTGGGAAGATCATTGCCATCAAGGACTTAGAAGTGGTTGCTAGGCAACTGGGGATGTACATGATCACGGTGATCGTGGGCCTCATCATCCACGGGGGCATCTTTCTCCCCTTGATTTACTTTGTAGTGACCAGAAAAAACCCGTTCTCCTTTTTTGCTGGTATTTTCCAAGCCTGGATCACTGCCCTAGGAACAGCTTCCAGGTAGAGGGCAGGAGAAGCCACCTTTCTCCATGTTGGTTCTTTCGCTCTATTTGACACTTCCCGTTTTCCCAAACCTTCCCTGAAGTCAGTGAGAACACCTTGCATATCATATGAAAATATTTTCCAGAAGGTAAACACTTGGAGCTTTTGGCTTGTCCTGGGCAATGCTGAAGCTCCTTTCTGGTTACCCTTGTGGCTGGTCAGCAGCTGGACTACAACCATAACCTCATATTAAATGTTTAGGGGGTTGCATGGTGTAAGCCTGCATGCCTAACTGCCTAACGTGTTACCTGAAGCACTAATGTAATGTAGCCTTCAATATCATTCAGAGATTGTAGCATGATGTCGTTCACTTAACATACCACCTGTAATTTGGAAAATTACTATTTACTATTTAAAAAACAAAACAAAACTCTACTGAGGTTTTCCCCAATAATTTTTCAAAAGTGGGAGAATCAACTTATTTTGGAAAAGGTGTGTCCATTTTTTATTATGTATATGTGTGAGTGACTGCATATGTATGGGCTCTCCATACATGCCTGGTGCCCTCAAAGGCCGGCAGAGAGAGTTGTAAGCAGTTGTTTGCTGAGAACTGAACCCAGGTCCTCTGCAAACTGGAGCTCTGTCTCGCCGGCACCAGGAGAAACAACTCTCACAGGGTAAATGGTGATGTGTTTTCCCCAACAAGCAGAAACCAGCTAATTCTTTGACTTTAGTATAAACCTCTTAGTATACAATTCTTCCCTAACTTTCCCTCCTCAAATCCAGCTTAAATGGTATGACCTTGATAGAAAGGCAGCTCCTGCTTCATTATCTATTTCCATTGCCTAGGAAATCAAATAGGACCTCGAATATCGGCAACAACAACAAAAAAATCATGTTTTGAATATAATCTTGGACAAAAGTTAGCCAAAACACAAACAAAAACAAGCAAAAAAAAATCTAGAACTGTATAATTTCAAAGACTGAAGAGTTTTTCTCTTTCAGACTGATGTTTTACTTCTGATATCTGTCTTTGCGTCAAAAACTGAGCCTGAGATCAAGAATCAGGCAACTCAGAGCCCAGCAAATGCCAAAACCCACATTGGAAGGCTACCGGGTCCAGCTGCTGAGCCTGTGACCACCATGTCCTGCTAGGCAGGTGCCCACTGAGTGGCACAGCATGGCTGGAGGTTCCAAGGCCCCTGTTTAGGCAGACAAAGTCACCTCAAGCAACCCAACAGCTGCATGGGAAGCCAAATTATATTTGCATATTGCAAGCCAGCGGGAATTCAATAGGAATAGAATAGGAGCTTTCAGAAAAGACTGAATCATGGACAATACTGGGGGCCAGATTCGGCATCCTGTTTCCCGAGATGAAGGGAAACACTTCAAACTTTCCCTGTTACTTCCTTATGCTTTAGTTCTCTGTAGATAAATGTCTGTACCCATGAAAACGCTTCTCTTCAGAGAAAAAGTAGCCGTTTCCTCCTCAAAAAAGCCAACCTTATTTATTTTTATTTTTGTTATCTGATCATAAATATGGTATGCCTAAATAGCAACCAAGTTCAGACAGAGGATAAAATTTTGAGGAGGACAATGAACCTCACCAGACTAAGAATTTCTTCAGCTAATGACAGTATGTGATAACCCTGTAGTTAATCCTTATACTTATAAATCTTCCTTTAAAAAAAAAAACTATGTATATATGCTACTCTAGGAACTTCTATTTTTTTCCATGGGTCAAGAGATCACGAAAATCTTATCTATTAATATAGATCTTCGCTACTATTTTTGTGAACTTCATTATAGTATACAGGATATAAAAGGCTGAAGAGATGGTCTAGCAGTTAAGAATGCTGGCTGCTCTTACAAAGGACCTGGGTTTGGTTCCTAGCACCCACATGGCAGCTCACAGCCACCTGTAACTCCTGTTATAACACCCTCTTTTGCTTCCCTAGGTACCAGGCATGTACATACATACGTGTCGACAAAGCACTCACACACTTAAAATAAAATGAAATACTAATATACCGTACTCTATTGCACTCCATGTAAATCTAAAGCATGCCCATTAAACAGAGCGCTGACAATCATCTCTGCCAGACTCTCTGATGATCCCCTCAGGATACATTCTAGACCTGGACTTGCTGAGTCAAGGAGTACGCACTGGTAGTTTTTGAAATGCATCATCACCAGTTAGCATTTCAGAAAGTCCAGAATTTAATGTTCCCACCAACTGTGTTTGAGGGAGTCTCTTTCCCCACCCACTCACTAGAGCTGGGGATTCCAATTCTGTGTTGCTTTGATGTATTCCAATCTTATTGGTGGGGAAACCACTCAGCAAATGTGCATGTATTTGATTATAGATGAGAGAAAACATCTTTTTATTCCTTATTGCCTTTTCCTCCCCATTCCTTGCCTCTTGAGTCATGTGTGAGCCAGCTCGTTTTTCTTTGTGGGTATTCATCCTTTCCTGGATGGTTTTCAAGCTCACTTTATGCATATGAATTATTAACTCTTACATCACATGGTACAGATAAGAAGCCTCCCTACTAGACATCTGTCTTGAAAATAAATAATGATGTTTGACACTGGAATTTTTTATTTGTATACATTCAAAGCTGTAAATACTCCTTTTTATTTAGAAATTCAGTTTTGCTAAATTATTTTTTCTATGCACAATTATAGCATAATGCATTACATTTTTCTAATACTCTTGTGAATTTGTCTTTAAGTTATTTTTAAAAATAATTTTTTCCTTTTTAATAGTCAGACCATTATCCTTATAATTCTAAAAGACAAGACAAATCCTAAAGAGATATGAGTTGTATATTCTGGCATTTAAATCAAACTCGCCGGGCGGTGGTGGCGCATGCCTTTAATCCCAGCACTCGGGAGGCAGAGCCAGGTGGATCTCTATGAGTTCGAGGCCAGCCTGGGCTACCAAGTGAGTTCTAGGAAAGGCGCAAAGCTACACAGAGAAACCCTGTCTCGAAAAACCAAACCAAAAAAAAAAAAAAAAAATCAAACTCAAATGCTTGAGTTATCTAAATAAAGCCTCAAATGTTAGACCCATTCCTCTGCCCCTTACTCTGTACTATAGGGAGAAAAACGTGGTTTTAATTTTCACTTAAAATGTGGCTTTTGCCTGGATGTGGAGTTTCCCCTTCTTAAAAGGCAACGGGCAAGACTCACATTCCAAGAATTGAGTCATGGTTTCTTTGCCATAATGGGCAGAAGGGGAAAAAATCCAGCGCCCAGGAACAACCCCCTAAGTGCCGCTCTGCCTCATTGTGTTGACGGAGGACCTGGCTAGTCACTTTTCACAGTGCTACAGCAAAACACCCACCAGAGAGAGCCTAAGGCAGGAAGGAAGGTTTCTGTCGGCTCAGGGTCCGAGGGGACACAGTCCCTTGTGGCAGGTAAGAGATGGAAACTGGAGCGGGTCCGTTCAGACAGCGGGAGCTCATGACGTTGGCTTCTTGTGGTGCCAATCAGAAAGCAGAGATGGGGCCAGAAGCAGAGCCAAGGCTGAAAACCTCCAAGTCCACCCAACTGGCCTCTATTCACTTAAGCCTTACATCCCAAAGGTTCCAAACCACCCCAAGGAGGGCCACCACAACAACCATAGCAACACTGAGGGTGGCTAACTGAATCTTCTCGATGGCTACTAAGGCTGGTAGCAGAGAGGAATGTGTCCCAGATCTCTGGCTTCAGTGCATGCCATTCATCAGAGGAAGAATCTCAAGTATTGGACATTATTGTTAGCATCATCCTAGGACCTCTCAGATGGGAGCTAAAAGGCAATGGTAGAGAGTCAGTCTGTCAGCAAGGAAGTCGCTAAATTCTCACATCCTAGTTTGGATTAGTTGACTGTATGTGGATTTGGAGGACATAAATATAAAACCTGCTCAGTAGAAGAATAGGGACTGTTTTCATGCTTCACAAACCATTCCCCCAGTCTCTCTGTCCGAAGACCTTTTGATGACATTTTGGAAAACAATAGATATAACAAGTAACATTAATATATTTTAGTGGTCCCAGAAGTATGCTTTGAGCCATATGACTGAGAATCCCAGCCATCAAAAATGACTGAGTAGTCATTTTGGATCAGTTATGGTATCTAGGAAACCCCCTGAAACAGTCCCAGGAAATGGGGAGAAGGGGTAAGAGGAATAAGAGGACACCAACTTCTAATTAAAACAGCTGAAGCGGCAAGCCAGGAACATGGTATTTCCTGCATGCAAATGAGAACAAAGCCTCACTTCTTACTTGGGCTTATAAGGCTTTTGTAAATGAGATGCATACAGCCCTGGCCCAATTAATTGACTTCTCTTTACCCTAAGACCAACAGGAAGCATTACAGAGCCCTGACCTGTAATCACAAAGGATGTTCTGTCTGGTAAGATGACTCCTGGATCAGCTTAAGCTGTGGACTTGAGTGTCTCTTATTTTATATGTAGCTTTCAGATTTAATGGTCCGGAGTAGGTCCTGGAATCAGCACATCTCTGAGCTGACCTTTTCTCCCACTGAGAAACTGAGACCTTTGTGAACTTGTCTGGTCTTGTTGAAGACTCAGTTGTAACTAGTATGAAGAGGTAATTCTGACTAAGGCTTGAAAGTACCTCCAAATGCTGCCTGTGCTGGAAATTTTCCAGTTCACTTAAACAGGACAAAAGTAATCTAAGCAAGACAAACTACAAACAATCCCATGCTGTTTGGCTCTTTTGCTTGACTTCAACATTATTTAAACTCTGAACAAATCCACCCAATCTCCTTCGCACTACTGTCTAAAAGGATGTAATATTCTGGCCTTGAGGAATCTTGTTCCCTTAGGTGTTCTATTTTAGAAGATGCTGAAGCATGCCAAATATTGTAGCCTCTAAGGGTGGGTCATGTGATTGGATCACCAGCCCAAGCCTAGGAGGATTGAGAGTGAAGTCACTCCTCACCGCCTTTAGTGACACATCCCATGATTTCCTGCCCTGTCATTGTGGAGACTGAGGACTGGCTGGTGGCCATGTCTCTGGGAGTTTGACTGCATGTCAAGTTCCCTGGTGGACTGTTCAAAGCTTGGGTTCGTGATGAAGGGTGCACAACATGTTTGTCCAGCGTTCTCCAAATTAGTAAGCCCAACTCAGGACAGGTCCCAGGGGCTCCATGCTGTCCAGGCAGTCATTTTGTTGGAACAGTATTTCTGGTATGAAATTTTGGGTCATTCAAAAATTCCTCATTTTGTTTTGCTGTTGACAGCTGATTGCTTTCTGACATAATTCTTCTGCAGCCCAATTCCTATGCACAATCAGATGTGCTTCAAGATTTATCCTAAGATGGAAACAGGGACTGAGGGATAGAGGACTTGGCAGGCACTGAGTAGCTCTGAGAAACCAGGACCAACTAAATATTTTGTTGCTTATCAGCAGCTTAGTAAGATTGAATTTAAACTCCCAACTCATTTTAAAAAAATGTTTCTAGTTGCTATTTTTTTTTGCATGTCACACTGACTAGAAAAAGAACAAAAAATTTGCAATGTCATTCTGGTTTGTGCTTTGTCCTGCCTCTAAAGCAGAATCTCTCTCTCTCTCTCTCTCTCTCTCTCTCTCTCTCTCTCTCTCTCTCTCTCTCTCTCTCTCTCTCTCTCTCCCCTGCCTCCAGTGCTGGAACTTTGCCTGTCACCTTCCGTTGCTTGGAAGACAATCTAGGAATTGATAAGCGTGTGACCAGGTTCGTCCTTCCGGTTGGAGCAACCATTAACATGGACGGTACAGCCCTTTACGAAGCCGTGGCCGCCATCTTCATAGCCCAAATGAATGGTGTCATCCTGGATGGAGGGCAGATTGTGACTGTAAGGTGAGCAAAGCGCATGCAGAAGAAACGGAGAAACATCCGTCTTCCTCGTTCTCCCTCCATACTAACTTCGCTTGATGGAAGCTGCTGGAGTTTCAGCTCTAGTGAGACACAGTGAAGAAAGTACTGGCAAACTTCAAAGGGAAAAGAATGTGACAGGAAGGGAAGAGGCTAGTGGCATATTACACATGTGCACTCATGTCAGAGCCAGATAAGATTTGACCAGTTATTTGTTTGCTCATTCAACACACAAGGAAAATCAGGCTTGGAAGTAGAGTAGCTTGTCCAAGGCTATACCACTAGTCACGAGCTGTCACGGCTATGGCTGGGGTGACATTTACTAATCAGGGTCCAATTATTCTGTCATTAAAATGTGTTCCCTTCTGGGTAGGTGAGCCAGCTCAGGGGATAAAGGCACTTGCCACCTGACGTCAATCCTCAGGCCCCACATAATGGCAAGAGACAACCGATTCTTTTAGGTTGTCCTCTGATCCCCAGGTAGATACCATTTTGTACACACAAACATGCAAAATTAATATTCAAAACATGCTCTTTTCAATGTTCCAAGGCATGATGGTAGATTCCTCGGTGTGACACAGAACATTTTACTGTAAATAAATATCACACAGTGTGCTTTCACTAATGCTTTTATTTACTACCTGTATTCACTACTGTTTTAACGTTGAGAACATTGTCCTGAGAGGTCATCTAAAATGCACTGCTTCTCCATAAACTCAGATCTCGTTTGTCGGTAGAGTCATTGACAGTTTCATTCTTCAAACTGTTCAGTGTGCTGACACGATACCGTGAAATCACTTCGACTCCAACTGGGAGCTTCTGTTAAGTTAGAAGACAGTTTCTGGCTTTAGTTAAAGTAGAAAATACAACAAAAAGCCAATGAACTACCTCCTGGTCCCACTTACGTCCCACTCCCACTCACAGTGGCTTGATGTCCTCATCTACAAATGAGGAAGGTATTCAGAATTGGGGACTGTGAATCGGCAGTTGGTGGGCTGAAGCCAACTCTGAGCCTTGCTATTTGCTTTGCAATGTGCTGTAAAATAATTAGAATGTTAGTGTCTTTGAAGACAGGTGTTTTCCATTTACTGGTCGCCCCTGCTCCTCACCGCCCATACCTGGCCTTGTCACCTACCACCACTGCCTGTCCCTTTAAGACAGTTAAAGTTATTACTTTGGGATGCTGTGAATTACATTCCCTTTCTGTCTCAGTTTCTATGAGATTGGTAATACAAGCAACAGGTGGATGGCATTCTGTGTAATCAATGTATTTGCAGGCAAAAGAAAATCCAAAGAAGTGTAACAACCACAGCCCCACTGATTCATTCTGTGGAAAGATTAGATTGATGTGGAAATAACTTTCATCTTCTGCAATGAGAACAGCTCCAGTCTTGTGGTGCCCCTGAGGTGGCATTCTTCATATCTCACCTCAGACATTCCCAGCAATCTGAAAAGGAAGGATGGCTTTTGTCTCCATTTCACTGGAACAGTAATATGAGGCTAAGGGTGTTTATATGAAATCTAACTTTCAGGGTGTGGATGCTGTAGGCAGGAGTCACATGTTGACCCCTTAGGCAACTCCTTCCATTCTCCACCCCTTTCCTTTCTGGATTGAACGCAAAGGAAGCTGTTGGAAGACTAGTTTTGTTGGTCTTGTCTCTATTGCACATGGAGAAGAGGCCATACCCTTTGTGTCCTGACTCATACAGTGGCCTTTCTTCCCTTCTAACTTTTGTCAATAAGGTCCTTCTCTACTTTAGAAATTCTGGTGACAGCTGGCGTCTGTTTGGCCTATCGCTCATTCTCTAGGAGGCCTTTGGTGGTCTTAGGATTACTTTAAGTGCCAGTAGTAAGAGAAGAGAAGAGGGGGGGTCATTTGTGTCTGATTTCTCCATGTGTTGAAGTTATTGAAAGGTCATACTCAGGCACTGGAAATTGAAATTCTCAGTGTTTTATGAGTTGACACCCCAGAAGAACCTCAGAGCCTTGCCTCATTTGTCTATCTGGGAGCCTTTTAGGCAGCTCAGAGTTATTTTTGTTGGGTTACCAGTTCCTTCCATTTCCTTAGAGTCATTCCAGAAGATTTTAATGAACATTCCATACACATCAAAGCTTGACTGAACAACTAAGTAAGAAAAACAAAGAAAAGAAAACCTTACCAGGTTTAACATTCGATTTGGAAATATAAATGCTTTGTGTCGCCATCTCATCTGGCAGATGAGGAACCTGAGGCTCAGAGACTCTAGCCATCCAGAGGATGGTTAAAATTCAAGTTCCCAAATTTGGATGTATTCTTCTGTTTACTACAGATCTTAATTTGTGACCTTTGAAGTGGCTTTAAAAACTGGGAATGGGGTCTGTATATATGAGCTGGTGAGAATAAAGCATGGAGAAAAAAAAGAAAACTTGCCCAAGCTCATATCTATAAGTGCTGAAGTAGGATTTGAACCCAGGCCACCTAAATGTGGGTCACACTGCCTCTGCTATAATTGGATAGATACTATTAGGCTGCTTTTGTGTGTTGATTTATCTGACCTTTACAAACACCTTGTGTTGTATATGCTAGAGTGGAACCTCCCATCTCCTCATCTATACCATGAAGGCAGCAATCACAGAATCAGGGTGGTTGAGAGCATCTCACATGGCACATATCACATATCAATAGATGGGAGCTATTGAAATTGTTACTAGTAATGACATTCAATAAGATAAAACAGTAGTCCTATATTAGTAGGTGAAAAAGTGGCTGGGACACAGTGAGTACCACAAATTAATCACAATGGGAAGCTTATTTCAGATCAGAGTATCAAACAAGAATCTTGTCCTAACAGATATCACATGAGACTTCCAACTTCCATGCTTAAAAACTCTTAGGTGAAAGGGCTTCTTACCTTAATGAAGCCTTTGGCCAAGCAATGATGGCGTCATGTTCTTTCATTCTTGGGCTTGACAGCAACCAGGCTTACCCTCCAGAGCATCCTATGCTGTTAAAATTAGAGCAGTGACTAAGTTGGGATTTTACTGGCATTACATAATTTTATCTACTTGGGACTTATTTTATGTTAACAATGCTACTGTTGGGAAATTTCACCAAGCAAAGGATAAGGTTGGCCATGTATGTTTAAATCTTGGCCTCTGGGCACGTTTAGCCAAATCCTCCTTAATTGTAGACATCTGAAGGTCTGCCTCCACAGGCTCCCACATGGCTCATGTGCAGTTCTCTGCCTGCAACGTATTTGGGGGGAAAATAGCCAAGTCTAGCTTTATGATGTGCCCATGTCTAAGTCCTTCCTCTTCTCTTCTCCCTCATGTAGGAGAGCAATGACCAAGAACTTTCTGTATACTTCTTAAGTCATAGACCTCCCAGGGTCATCAAGAGCCAGCATGTAGCAGAATCAAGCAGAGGAGTGTTCAAATCCCAGAATACCACATTGAATCTGAGTGACCCTATGTTGCCCACACTTCCAATCCCTGCTTGTCTTCTGGTGAAAGAACATGTCTGTGTACCTTGCATAGTTGTTGTGAGGTTCTGCTTTGATGTTGTGTACATAGAACTTGGCAGAGCTTCCAGGAACTTGACTCTGGAGAAGCCAGCCAGGGGAGTGGAATACTAGAGAAAGCAGAACAGGTCAAGGGGCCAGGGGCAGGCTGAGAATTCTCTAGACAACACTGTAGGAGGGCAAAATTACTGTTAAGATTTGACTCTCAACAAGAATTTTTGTACATACAGGATTTTGCCTCACAGAACCAAAAGCTAGTCAGATTGAAATGGCCATGGTGATTGTAAGAGTGACTCATGCCAAAGCAACCGATGCTGTAAATCAAACAGCCAAGGCTAAGGATGACTGGAACATGGGAATCCCCTCTTCCCTTCTGTTCTGTCCTTATTGGGGGAAGGTCTGAGGAGTCCTAGCTGTCTGGGGCTCTAGGGAAGTTTCACTCCCAAAACTGTTCACCTTGTCACTGAGTTCTTGATAAGAATGGCAGTTTATTTGGCTAGGGGGTTGTAATATGCCCAACCTCTCTTAAGTGCCTTTACACTTACTGGTCCCTAAAAGCTGTTGACTACCTCATGAAAGAGACACCCTCATTACTCCTTTGCATGGACGAGGAAGTCAAGGTACAAAGAGATGCTGTTGCCCAAAGTCATGTGCTTGATAAGTGATAGAGCTAGGATTTGAACCTAGATTGTTTAAGTTAAAAACAAAAAGTTGCTGCACACTATCTGCTGTCTCAAATGGATTCAGTCATGGAGTTCTCCGGAACCCAACACCAGCTCCATGCTGATGTGACAAGGAAGGTCACAGACATGTTCTGTAGATCACACCTAGGCAGGCGTCTGTAATAATACCCGAAAAGGGTGACAAACTGAAACAAATATGCCAACCCGCTGGAGCTCCAGAGGCTTTCCTTTCCCTCAGGGCCCTCTCAATTACAGGTCTTGGGATTCTAGGCTGGGTCACACTGATGGTCTGACTTTGTTAAAAGCTTCTGAGAGCCTGGAATTTGGTGCCTGAGTACCTGCTCTAGAAACATTCTAATGTTTTAACTACAAAGCAAGTAGCCCCCATATTTTTAGCACTCACAAAATCACACTGGGGAGCACTATTTTAAGAAGCAACATTCTATTTAGAAGTGACAGCTGTAGGTCTGAGGAGATGGCTTGCTTGATAAACACAGGGACCTGAGTTTGATCCCAAAACCCCCACAAAAATGCCAGGCATGGTGGCAAGTGTGTTTAATCCTAATACTGGAGAGTGGAAGACAGGCAGATACTTGGGACACAGTGGCTAGCTGGTGAGCTCTAAGCCAATGAGAAACCTTGCCTCAAAGGAAGTGGATGCTGTACCTGAAGATGACATCTAAGAAAGTCCTCTGACCTCTACACATATGCACTAACATGTACATGGCATACACACACACACACACACACACACACACACACACACACACACACACAGATGCAATTAAGAAGAAAAAAGAAATGATCCATTCTATAAAATGACAGTTACAAAGATCACAAAGTCACTGCCAGTTGGTAAGCCTCAGGAACCCTCTGGTATGTAGACAGGATACTTGGACCCAAGATTAATCTTTGAACTTTGGGGAGAGTTCAAAATGGTGCCAGGTATGCTCCTGATGTTTCTTGAAACGTTGATGAGTTTCGTGCATGAGAAACTCTCTTTTATTCCATTATCATTACGTGGCACCCTCTTTCTGAATAATGTGTTTTCCAGCCTTGGGAGAAGTGTCCAGGCAAGTGAAACTGAATGTCTCCTGGAATATGTCTATTGCTTCCCCTGATGTCCACTCAGTTAGTTCTGGACATTTTATATCATCAGTTCTAATGTTAACGTTGGCAATGATCTCCTTAGACTCTTACCACATAGTCCAAAGAACTGTGGCACTCACAGACGTGTGGAGGCATATACATAGGTGAGGGTGATTTATTTCTTTATCTTTAATATTTCCATGCCTATTTTTAGAACTTCAAGTGCCTTAGTACTGTGTACATTAGGCTATTTGGGTATCACTATGGGGATACGACTACAATCCATGAATTTATAAGCCTCCATTATTGTTGAGCTCAGTTCCTGGATATTAGTAAAATATTTCACATTTCTTTATTCCAAAGAGAAAGAAAGGAAGAGATTTTTAATGACTGTAGGAAAATTGGAAGGTTTTTTTTTCCTATCTCTAAGACTGCAAAAGATGTTTGCCAAGACTCTTTCTCTTCCCGTGACCTGGCTTCTCTGTCCTTGCAGCCTTACAGCCACTCTGGCAAGCATTGGTGCAGCCAGTATTCCCAGTGCCGGGCTGGTTACCATGCTCCTCATCCTAACAGCGGTGGGCCTGCCGACGGAGGATATTAGTCTGCTGGTGGCGGTGGACTGGCTCCTGTAAGTGCCTGTGGGCTGGGTTCTTCTGGGGATTGTGAATGCTGCCTTCCAGGAGTAGACAGATGACAAGATTGCAATATGACATTAGCCAGTCTCCCTTGGTAATTCCATGTGTCCTCCCTCTCCCTCTCCTATAAAAGTTACTGTGTCTACTCAGGAGAACCAAAGAGTTAAAAAGCAATTTGAGGGCCTCATAGTCTAGTGGAGGGATCAGATAGATCATAATACAAGAATAAAATATAGCATTGTGTAGCTTAAGTTTTCCTGCCTGGCCCACAGTCAGGATAAATCTCTCTCACCTGCCAGTCCCACAGCTGCTCAGACCCGACCAAGTAAACACAGACACTTATATTGGCTACAAACTGTATGGCCGTGGCAGGTTTTTTGCTAACTGTTCTTACAGCTTAAATTAATCCATCTCCATTAATCTATACCTTGCCACGTGGCTCATGGCTTACCGGCATCTTCACATGCTGTTTTTCATCGTGGTGGCTGGCAGTGTCTCTCTGACTCAGCCTTCCACTTCCCAGCTTTATTCTCCTCCTTGTCCCGCCTACACTTCCTGCCTAGTCAATGGCCAATCAGTGTTTTATTTATTGACTAATTAGCAACACATTTGCCATACAGAACATCCCACAGCAGTATTGAAAGGAGTTTGGGCTACAACTCAGTTGGTAGAGTGTATGCCTAGCTTCCGTTCCCATCACCGCATAAGCCAGGCAGCTCCGTCCATGGCTGCAATCCCAGCACTGAGCAAGTGCAGCTGGATGATCAGGAATTCAAGATCATCCTTGGCTACATAGTGAGTTTAGGGCTAGCCTGGGCTATGTGAGACCCTGTATCAAAAAGAAAATGTAGCAGTAATGATTCAGCTAACGATATATGCAAAGAATCACAAAACACTCTACTGAGTGAGTGGGGTCAGATATAAAAGAATGTGCACTGTATAGTTGCATTTTCATGAAACTCTAGGGGAAGACACTACAAGCCATAGCTGTGAAAAATGATCAGTGGTTCCCTTTGAGGAATGATAGAAATGTCCCATATTCACAGGTGTTTATATTTGTCACAACTGGTTGAACTATTTGCTTAAATACGTGGGTACTTTTTAACGTACATAAATTGCAGGTATAAACATAATTTATGGTAACATACAGTTAAAAGCACAATGATGTGTTATATGTGTCAGTCTAAGATGGAAGGGCAAAATGGGAGGCTATGAGAAAACGGCAGAAGTGGTTGCTGAGTTTGGGTACGCACTACATGTCAGCTCCTGTAATAGGCTATCACAGTCCTGAAAGTTTGCTCTTACCATTGCCATATTGTAGGTCAGAAGTCTGAGGCTTGGACTCAGGAATGCACAGAGATTTGAGCCTAGGCTTGCCTGGTTCTGGAGCCCTTTCACATTCTTGTTCACAGTCAGATTCAAGTTTCAGAAGGCAGGAGTAGCTATGCGCAGTCATAACTGATAAGAAGCGCAAGATACTTACTCAGAGGAGAAACAGGACATCCCTATCAAAACCATCTGTGCAAAGGCACTGGGGGCTACAAACAACGTGGAGACTTTTAAGTGATGGGAGGTGAGGTAAGATGAACACCCTTGGAGGCCACGTAGGGAGACTTGAATCTGACCATGTGCATTTGGCTGCTGCATTTCCCAGTGAAGAACATTTTACTAGTGTAGAAGATTAATAGCCCATTTATAAGTGTGAACAACCCTGGCTAGATCACCCCTAAACAGGGAGATTGGAATAGAGTCTCTCTAAGGGCCTTGAGGACACTGCTCTTCTTTGAAAATCATACCAATGTATCATGTCCACTCTTACTGTTAAGTGATTGAGTGCTGGACAGTGTAACAGTTTCCATCTCTGACAGCACTTGTTATAGTGCGCCAGTTAACCTGCATTGAAATTTCACGTTGATTTGGACAGAATTAAGAGGTGGGACTTTAAGAACTGCTTGCTCCAGGAAGAGTGGCACTGGTGTCACCGTACAGTGATGACTTCAGTCCCTTCTTCCTCTGGCTTTGTCCTGTGACCTCCTCATATATAATGACACAGGAGCTTGGCCACACCAGATTCTGGTGCCTTAGTCTAACACTTCCCAGCCTGAATAACTCTAAGTAAAATCAATTTCTGTTCTTTATAAATTGCCCAGTCTCAAGTGTTTTTTTATTATAGTACTACAAATGGACAGAGACATTCTTGAGTCTATGTACTAACAGCCAAGAACCTTTTGTTTGCGCTTTCTTTTTTTTCCCTTCCTATGATTAAACTATAACCAGTAACCAAATGAAGTAGGACAATGAAGTAGGATCAGAGCCTTAGCTACTCCTAAAATTCCAAGTTCTCTAGCCCCAGCAAGTCTGCCATTGTGAGCCCCGGAGTTCTTGGCGGTCTCCTGCTCTCAAGCCGGGTTGGATGAGAGTCACTTCATGAAATATTCAAGACCCTGCCTGTGTCTGACCTAAATGGTAGCAAATGGAATAGGAGGGCTGGATCCTCTCTGATCACCCCATGCAAGTGCTCACATGCTCACACTTGTGTGGGAGGATATGGTGTCCTAACTGTATGTCTGCAGTGCACCGGCAGGAAGGAGTTGGCTGACCACCAACAAAAATGACGCTCCATCTAGATTAATTTTCTTGATGAAATCATGCAACAAACAAACAAACAAACCTCTCCGGAGCTGGAATGGGAAAGAAGAATACAAATGCATCAATGGGAAGTTTTTTTTTTCTAGTTCTAAGGCTCTGATCTCAGAAGGGCTGAGGTCATGTAGTCAAGAAGGAAAGAAGAAGGAAGTGTGGAGAATCTTGGGAAGATGTGCATCAGAGTCGGGTTAGATCTGTTTTCAATAAGTACGGATGCCACATTCTTTCCTACCAGAGAACATTCTGGAAACAAGTGCCTAAGCTTGCTAAGCTCCAAGGTTTGGGATGTTACTCCCTGGTGTGTAGGTAGGGCTGGGGGCTGGAGGCTGGGTTGAGATAGGGTGCAAGAGGAGGCTGTCTGGTCTTTAGAAAAGTAGTTGATGGAGGAAGAGCAGAAAGAAAGAGACGGTGGTCAGTGGTTTTCTGCTGTAAGCAAAGTCTGGAAGATTTTTATACTGCTAGCAATTTTTCAATTTAAAACGGAACAGAGCCTCCAGTGACATTTAATGTGTCACGGTGTTTGCCAATTGCTGGAGCCAATCCAGCCTTATTATAGCCCACTAAGCCCTCAATGCTTGTCTGTGGCAAGGTTAGCTGCTCTGTAAATGTCATGGTGAAAACCAAGGTTCTAGAGCATTTCAAAATGCCCAAGTCTTGAAGTATGAAAAAGGCAGGCCTAGTTAATACTTGAATCATCTCCTGGGCCCAAGAAACCTTTTGTATCAAAACTGAGATATTTGTAAGAAAGTATGGGAGGATGGTAAGGAGGGAAGATGTAGGAAAAACTGAGACCCAATACTAAAATCAATTACTGGGCCCAGTGAGAGCCAGAAAGGAAAAGCCACATACAGTGACACCAACACCAATATGTGGTCCACTCCTCATATGACACTCTATTAGGGAGATCTTTTCTGGACTCAGATTTGCTAAGTAAGGGTAGGTGTGACTAACACATCTAAAAAGGATACCTAAAATAATCCCCATCCTGTGGGACACTCCATGTGTTAATATCCTTTTCTGGAGGGAGCAGAGTTTTGGTCCTCAAACCAAGTCTGCAACCAATCTGATGAGGATTCAGGAGGTGTAGGATGGAGTCCAAGAACTGACATGTATACCAAGTTCTCAGGTGGTGCTGATGATGGGGCCCTGGGATCTCACTTCTGGGAAAATGAGTTAGAATAGGGAGGGAGTTTCTCCTCAGCCAGGATCTTCCTGACTATGGGTGTCTACACACTCTATGTTGAGTGACCATTGACAGTTATCTTCCTGACTGTGGGTGTCTAAGCATTCTATGTTGAGTGACCATTGACAGTTTATGCACCCATTTAATGAAATTACATTGTCAGTGTATTAAGTGTTAGACATTGTTCTGATCACTTAGCATTTAAAAGTTACAGCAAATTATAAGTAATCTAATGATCCCTGTAGTTGAGGTAACCGAGAGATGTAATTTATCCTATTTGGTAGATGTTGAATGACCAAACTGTCATTCAAATACAGACATCTTGGATGTTTCTTGGGTATTCTAGGCCTGAGAAGATGCATTTTCTGATCCTTATTTAAGACATGTGTGTATGTTTTAAACATACACACACACACACACACACACACACACACACACACACACACACACGAGACACACACATGCTACTGCTAATGCTACTACTACTACATATAAAACTTACTTAACTTCCACTCCATTCCTGATGGAAAAGAAAATCATCTTCTACATCCACCATCTCTTTAAAGAGTCTAGAAAGTCGTGTTTATGTCAGTCTTTGGCTCTCATTCTTCATGCACACAGATTTTCCCTCATTTCTGTTTTACCTTATCTCTAATCTATGTCAGCTTCGATGTAGAATGTGATCCACGTTCCAGCAAGGCCGCCCCTCCCAACCAGTGGGTCTCTGACTCAAGGCAAGGTAGTCACAGACCCAGGGGCTGGGTGAACGTAAAGCTCTGCACAGCAAGACTCTTTTCGATATGTCGCCAAAGCTAAGGAGAATAAGAAAATGAAAATGGAAAGTCTCTTCCACCTGCCGCTGAATCTCAGTGTTCTCTCACCCCTGTGATCACAGTTGACATATCCACATAGGAATTACATTCTAAGAAGAGATTTGCTTTGTTTTTCTCTATGTGTATATGCTTGTGTGTAAGCATATGCATGTGAGTGTGTTTTGCTGGGCCTGCAGAGGATTTCAGAACTCCTGGAGCTGGAACTGTGAGCTACCTCATACGGGCACTGAGACTAAAACACAGGGCCTTTGCATGAGCAGTGCAGGCTCATAACTGCTGAGCCTGTGTCAGCATTAAACACTAAAGAAAGCTTTAATACCGAGAATCTCTTTCCTTAGGAAAAACAACTCTTTGGTGTCCCGCACCTCTCCTGATTGCCCCTGCCTTGATGGCCATTTTCAACCATCCTGTCTTGCCAAATCGTCTTGTTCTTCTCTGAGTCTTCCCCAGCTTCTTGTCTACCCTTTGCAGTTTGGATTTCTGTGACTCCCTCCTCCTCTTGGATGATGCCCGAATCCTCCCTTTTCTTTGTGCGAATCCTGCCAGATGTTGTTGCTAAACAGCGAACAATCCCTTCTTTCTCTTAAGCTCATCTGCTTCTAATCCAAATGAACAATCCATTCTGTTCTTCCTCCTGCTCCTACCTACTTCCCAACTCTCCCGCCATACCCCAGGCCACACTGAATGCCCACAGCTCTCTCTGGTTTCTATGTTCTCAGACTTCAAGTGTAGCTAGAAACCACTTTTTAAAGAATTGCATCTGAACTGATCATGTACAGATTTTTTTTTTTTGTTTTATGAGTCTTCCCAAACAAAACAGCACAGATGCTATGTAGCATTCCTACTGTACTGGGCATTGTGAGTGATCTAGAGGTGGCTTAGTGCATGTAGGGAGATGCCTGTAGGTTATAAGCAAGTGTTAGGACATTTGGTGTAAGGGGCTTGGGCATCTGTGGATTTGGGTATCCGTGGGAGGTCCTGGAGCCAATTCCTCCATAGAAACTATAAATCATGGTCTCAGTATTCAAAAAGCTCTAGTAAAGATTGTTTCTAAACAACAACCAGATGTGGTGTGCTCAAGAGATCCCAACAGGTGCAAAATGAGGAGTACGCATCTGGTGGGGGAATTAAAGAGGAAGTGAACTCATCACATGAGTAATAGTAGCAATACCATGAGCAGCTGATAGAATGGCACTTATTTCGTGCCATCTCAGCCTTTCGTATGCAAAGGATTTTGGGGAGAGCCTCTCAGATGGCATGTCGGCAGTTATTATCTTCCTCTCTGGTGGGTATTGTTCTGACTGACAAATGAGGGAGCTGTACAGGAAAAGCTAGATGACCGGCCTGTTAGAGCAGGAATGCACCCCAGGGTGAAATCCAATCACATCCAGTCACATCTTAACCAACAGGTGAGTGTCCTTCCTTCCTGAGTCCCAAAGGACTCCAGCCCTCCAATGCCAGCCTGCCCCAGGTCAGGAACCCTATGTGACCCGTTGCTGCCACACAGAGCCCCTCAAGACAGTCCCTCAGCACCCTGTCCTCTGAGAGCCCACGTTACGCTTTGTTTCTACTTGGTGAAGTTCTTCCGGCATTTGGTTCTTTTACACCTACAGCAATGATCATTTCTTAGGATTCAACACATTACAAAGGCCCAGAACAGCTGAGTGATCCAGGACTCTCTGTGAGAACTCAGACCTTTAGACAGTCTCACATCTCCCTGCCAGAGGACTTGGACCAAGAGAAAAAAGAGCCAGAGTACCTTGGCAATTATTTTTCTTCAAATGAGCCAGACCCAGTGATTGGTGTGATGGACTGTTCCGCCCCCTCTTGTTTTTGGTTCCTGCCAGCCCAGGAAGAAGAGCTGTGCCATTTAGAGTGAATTCATTAAATGCAAGATTCTGTTCCCATCTCCGTTGCTTTCCTGCCCTCCTGGCAGACAGACTCCCAGAGGCAGCATCAACAATCTATTCCTTTTGTTTTTTATCTTCCATTCTTTTGCCCTCTTTTCTTTCTCTCCCTCCCCTCTTCTCCCTCCTCCTCCCTTCTTTTCCTCCTTCCTCCTTCCTTTTCTCCCCACTTTCTTTCTCTACTACTGAGGTCAACATGAAAGACAGACTTTCCCGAGAGGCCAAGATTGACCATGACAGAAAATGAAAGTTATTTGCTTGGGGAAAACTTTCCACATATGAACCAAAAACTCTCATATCCTTCTTTGGGCCAGAGTTATAGTTCCCTAGAGTCAGTAAGATATTTCCCTGGTGGTTTGGAAGTTGCTTGGCTTTGTGGTATTGGAGGGGCAAAAAGCATACAAACAGAATAGCCATGATTGATCTCCTGATTGGGTGTCCTGGGAATTTTCCCAGGATTCATAGCAGCAGAGGAAGTTGACAAGATGGGGCTTAATCTAAATTGGCATCTTGCTGTCTGACATACATCCTTTAACTCCTGCCAGCTTCCCAAGGAATGTCTTCATAAATTTGCCCCATTTCCCTTTTCTTCCGTAGTGATAGAGGTGAGTCCCTCTACCAAAAGACATGACTGTCATCTCCACCTTGGATTCCATCCTCTCTAATCTATTCAAGACCCATCACCAGAGCTCATCATCTGTTCTCCATCCCTTTAGGCTTGCCTTCTCAATGGGCTTTGTTTAATATTTGATCAGCTTCAAGTAGTTCCCTTCTAAAATAAAAACAAACCAGAAATCCTTCCCCGTGTTCTCTGCCTCTGTCATCAACCATTCTTGTGCTTTCTCCACCTTCTTGGAAAAGGTGGTTATACATACATAATGTCCCCACTTCTCCTCACTGCAAAAGCCAGTCTCTGTCCTTATGAACTGCTCTCAGCGGGTCAACTGCAGTCTCTTTGTTACTAAAATCTAGAGCTACTTCTCTTTTTTGTCAACTCAAGGCGATAATTGGCATTTGTCTGCCACACGCTGCTGCCTGTTACAGGAGTTGGAGTAAAAATAAAGTCAATGTTTTCAGGGGGAGACGGTAGCTTAACCAGGCATGTCTGGATGTGCTGCCTATTACCTGCCAAAAATACATTTGAATTGACTGAGTAAAACTTGTAGTGATATTATGTATACCTCATCATCCATTTAAATAACTTTTTTTATAGTTTTTAGCGAGTGTCTGAAACTGTAATAAGCATTTTGTTTATATTATTTTACCTTCCTAACAACCCTATGCGCTGGCCATTTCTTGTTATTTCGGTTTTGAGAAGGCCCACACATATTAAGATGCTCAGAGCTGCCAGCAGGTAAGGGACAAAGATCACATTTGACTCCAAACCAGGCTGTCTCTGGAGTGCATTCTATGACTTTTCTTATGGTGCTGTGGTAAAACCCAAGGCCTTGCACATGCTAGATAAGCCCTTTATCGCTGAGCTACATCCCAGCCATTTATTTTATCTGCTGTATATTAAAAAATTATACATATAATCTTACATTTTAAAATGCAAAACACACACTTACATCAGAGAGGTACCACATAATATCTTGATGCATGTATATATTAGGTAGTATCTTAGTCAAATTAAATATGTATGTCTTCTCAGGAATAATTTCTTTGATAAAACTGCCCACATCCTTCTTTTACCTTTGAAATTTACAGTACATTTCTGCTGTTTTATGGTGCCTGCTAGGCAATAGCACCATGGGGGTTCTTAGTCTCATCTAATGCCTTGTCAACTCCTATCTCATGTTTCTTCTTGGACACTTATGCTGGGGTTCTTAACCATTAGCTCTTGGGTGTCTTCAAGCCTAAATCTTCATTCAGGTACAGACTCCACCTCCCTCTACCGATTCTCAAGTGCAGAAGAGGGACCAGCACATTTAAAGACAAGACACACCCAAGTAGTCCAGTTCAGCTCTGATTACATGATATGCACCCTCGGCACCATGGGCAGATCTGCCTGGTTGAAATCAGGGTGTCTGGACTTGCAAGGGAGTCATGCCAGAGTCCTCCAATGCAGCTTCGCTATCCCCACTTCCTAAGGACAGATAGATTGCATCACAGCAATTAGGATTTATTTTAGGTCATTGTTCTAATTTTAAAATTAAGGTTTCCTCTCTTCCTGTAACTTAATCATACTCATAGAATTTGAATGGAAAGCGAGCGTCCTCAACTACTATGTGATTTATTTTAGGTCATTGTTCTAATTTTAAAATTAAGGTTTCCTCTCTTCCTGTAACTTAATCATACTCATAGAATTTGAATGGAAAGCGAGCGTCCTCAACTACTATGCTGGCAACGGCACTGCCTCATCCCCTCCCTTTTATGTTTCACATTTACTGGTTTGTTCACTCATTTACATCTTTGGTGGCTTTCCAGCACCTTCACTGATAGGACTTTGGAGGTAGAGGAAATGTGGCCAAAGGCTCCTTCACACTGACTGCCTCATACTTCCTGACGAGAGAGCACAACTACCCTTAAGAACTCAATTGAGTTTTCCTGGTGCTGAGATGAGTTTTATATCATTAACAACCACTTCTTCTTTGAAGTCCATAACTTGCAACATAAGACACGAGGAGAGATATTCTGGATACTCGCTGGTTGCAGCAACACTCTGAAATGTTTTTCTTAGGTTCACAGAAAGAGCAATTCCTCACTGAACTTCTGTGCTTCATCCCTAGGGACAGGATGAGAACGTCAGTCAATGTTGTGGGGGATTCTTTTGGGGCCGGGATTGTCTATCACCTCTCCAAGACTGAGCTGGATACCATTGACTCCCAACATCGAATGCATGAAGACATTGAAATGACCAAGACGCAGTCCATTTACGACGACACGAAGAACCATAGGGAAAGCAACTCTAACCAGTGTGTCTATGCCGCACACAACTCTGTCATTATAGATGAGTGCAAGGTACCTTTCCCATTCCTGGATATTGAGACCTGCATATAAATAGTGCATGCTGGACTTCTTAAAAACACAAAACCCTGCATCCATTCTTACCACGCTTTTGTAAGGAATCATGGAACCCAAGCTTCTGTGAGGCCCAGATCATCCCACTCTGCATCCAGCATGGTGGGAAATCCACACATCTGACACCAAAAATAAAAACAAAAACAAAAAAAACCACAAAAAAAAAAACAAAACCCAACAACCAAGCACTTGCTTGTCTCAACATATTCCCATATCCACCTCACTCCTCTAATTTGGTCAATTTTCTTCACTCTTTGGGCCAAGAATTTATGGTTGTTAGAACTTTGATGGCCTTCAAATATTCTCTTCCTTAAAGGGAGGGTCAAGAAAAATGTTGATCAAATAGCATTGACTTTATGTAGCATGAGTATTCCTCCTTACTCTGTATTACAAATTGTTTTTGTTGTTTTTTTTTATTTTAAGTTTGATTGGCTGTCTTCCTTTTATTTATTTATTTTTATTCTTGAGTAGGAGGGTAAGTTTTAGTCTGGTTTTTATTTTGCATCCCAAATGGGGATGTAGTTTCAAGAATAGCTGTTCTTCAAAACAGTTGTCCAGAAAGTCTTTTAAAAATGCTAAGTATCACACTCCAGTTCTCCGGCACTGTGGGTGTTCTGGGTTCTCCTCCAAGCTGTTGGGTGCCAAGTCTTCAAGCTTGATGGTCTCTAGCTGGCCTTCACTGTAACTAACTTGACATTGTTAAAGATAGACTGTTGTGACCAGAGTGATGCAAACATGGAGAAACCCTGTCAGATGAGAGAGGGGTTGGCTTGCTAAAATGATTGAGTGTAGCAGCTGAGGCCGGTTTGAATCAACAGAGATCCCTTCTACCTTTTTGACTCCTGCTGATAAAATCCTGTTTAATCTTTCTTACTGTGTTAAGTCTTGGGTTATTCCAAATAGCACCATGGTTTCTGCCAGAGAGCTCAGGCTAACAGAAGCAATTCCGTTTACCAGGCTGTATCATAGGTCCAGAGAATCTGTAGAGCAGAGAGTCTTGCTTTTTCCCTCTACATCAAGTACATATGTAGGTGAGCCAGGGCTCTGCTACAAACTGGAGAGTGAGACTACTCACTGATTAATTAAGTGACAAGACAAAATGATTTCCATTTTTAAAATTTCAGAGAGACCATGGGACAATAATCCATTTTTCTTGCAATGTTAGTGTTTTTCACACCCAAGTGAACATGTTAAGTTCCTTTCCACAAAAAAAATTGCTAGTTTGGATCAATAAGGGTCAATATTCTCACGGAATGATTTTTATCTTGTGTTCATCAAGTATTTATTGTGTGCCTTGTATGATTTAGTGGTGTGTCCTCTCCTTCCTCCATGACATCCCATGTTTTGATAGTTCACCAAGTATTTACTGAGTGCTTATACCTATAAGCCCCTACGTACTGGAGCTATGCAAACAAGAATATGCAGTATGATACAAGAGAGAAGGTTTGAACTCAGACCATTTCCGCTCAAGGAAACATAAGATGAGACAAAGTGGGATAGTCATATATAGTGTTTGTTTCACTGTTATGTGCAGAAAGAATCCTAGTCAATGCTGGGACCCTTCGAGGGACTTCTCAAAGGGCTTCATAATACTGTCAAGAACATGTTCTGAAAAGTAAGGAGCAAAGGGATGGAAATGTCTTTCTATTCAGACTTACTTATCTTTTCCTAAAGATTGCAAAAGGTTGGGAAGTGGTGGTGCAAGCCTTTAATCCCAACACTTGGGAGACAGAGGTAGATGAATCTCTGAGTTCAAGGTCAGCTTGGTCTACAGATGGAGTCTAGGACAGCCAGTGCTACACTGAGAAACCCTGTCTTGAAAAAACAAAAAGCAAAACAAAACCAATTAGAAGAACATTGCAAGAGTATTTACTACATGTTTTAAAGAAAACTGCAGACTGTAAAGGGAGGGAATTGATCCTGTCACTATAAAGTATGCCCATAGATAGAGGCACTTCTTCTCCATCCAGCATTATCGTGTCCAAACTCCCAAAACAGTGCCTGGGCTGTTGTAGGCACTCAATACATACTTGTTGAATGCACCCCACTAGCATCTAGACTCCATGTCCTGTTTAGATAGCCTTCTTTTTATTGGACAGTTTCATAGAGCTAGTTGCTCAATCTCTCCATAAAATTGACTACCCAATCAACCACTTGCATCTGTATTGGATAATTAGCATTTAGATGGTGTCAATACCCAACCTGAGAAGGCCCTGAGGATAATGTATCTGGGTGTGTTAGTTTCATAAATATCTCAGACACTTGCATTTTTAGTGAGGTGATTGGCTTCAGCTCTTTGAAGAGAATCAGATCGTCAGCCCTCTCGCTCTAAGTCAGTGTCCTGTGTTGTCACCAAAGTAGGAAGCAGCTGGAGCTCTGTCCATAGATGCACATCCTTTCTGGAAGTGTCTGGGTCACATTTATTCTTTTCTTTGAACTTCTTTCAGGTCAACTCTCAGCCTCACCACTTTTTAGGTCCAGTTTTTAGAGCCCAGCAGGAAGAGTGTCAATGCTTGTTGCCAAGGCCCTACCCTTGACTGAGCAAGACAGGGGTAGAATGGGTTAGTGAGAGGACTTCAGACTTTCTTGGGTTCAGTAGAGGGACAAGGAGTGCCAGAAAAACCACCATTCCAGCTGCTTCTGAAATACAGGTCCCAGTATTTATAAACAAAAAGTGAACACATCCCTCATGCTGTATGGTTCTTCCAGGATGCCACATTGTGATTGATAGCTGTATACTGCCATTGGTCTGATTGATCACTGAGAGCCAAATAAACACATTCAAGGCCACAAGGAATAGACAGATTTCTCCAGTCCGTCTCTGGCAGTCTTTCTTGACAGTTTATTGAGGGGGGAAACCAGTTTGCTGCAGCTCTGGTCAAAACGTTAACCATTTCAAGCACTGTTATGTCATGCTAGTCTCTGACCTCATAATGGTAGTGTGGAGTTATGCGATAGCCTCTTAATTCCCGTCGAAGTAACAGCATGTGAGCCGTCACTGCTAACTGCATGGGCTTTCTAAGCAATGGTGTGGGGGCGGAGTGGGCGTGTGCTAACGGGAATTGGAAGAATGGATAGATTTTTATTTTCATTGCATGGTTCACGAAGGTCGCTTGGTTTTCTGTTCCTAGCATGCTGCATGCTCTTGATGCATGCATTTCATTTCCACTTGGGTAAAAGGAGGTCAGATTTCTTTCAAACTTTGCTGCATTTGTCATGTCTCCATATTCTAATGCTTCCATAAATCCAGTCTCTTCATTATGTGGAGTATCAGTCGTGGGTTTAAGTTTGCACATGACGTTGAGGACAGACAGACAGAAGGTAAGCTAGGAACCCTGCTTAGAAGTGGATGGGAAAACTTCCCTCCTGCATAAAGGTTCAGTTTGCTCTGGGCCAGATATATATATATATATATATATATATATATATATATATATATATATATATATATATATATGATTTGCTGATTATAGGTTCCTCAGTGTCAACATTGAAATGATTTGGCCGGGCGGTGGTGGCGCACGCCTTTAATCCCAGCACTCGGGAGGCAGAGCCAGGCGGATCTCTGTGAGTTCGAGGCCAGCCTGGTCTACAGCGCGAGATCCAGGAAAGGCACAAAGCTACACAGAGAAAGCCTGTCTCGGAAAAAAAAAAAAAAAAGAAATGATTTGGAATACATTGCTACTGATCTCCCACTTTTCCCCCCTTTTCATATCTAAAGTCAAGATCACTTATTCAGTAGAGTCAAAATGCCATCATTTCAGTAATTAAGATTGAACATGTATGAAATTCACCTGGCCTCACTGTGACTGAACCTTTCACATGCATGAGTAGAAGTAGCTGCCTAATTCTGGATTTCTTTCTGTCTGGTTGTATGGAGTAGCACGTGGCACTCACTGCATTTTAAGGACTACAGTAATACGTGATGGGTCTATGGGTACTGAGATACCCCACAGCCCTACAAATATTGTTGATGTTGTCCCCACAATGCTGACCACCTGTGATCCCCCAATACCCTCCAGGCAAATACAGATAATTTAATTCTCTATTCACTGTTGAACACCAGGATGGCTTCAAAACTAATTGGGAAGGAATGCCATTTAAAACTATGGTTTCAGCATATACTGTAAGCTTGGATCTGGTGCTTCTCCACATGACCCATGAGTGGTGTTTCTTGTGGTTCGTGGCCTGTAAGTTGGATGTTGATGGTAATTGTTTTCAGGTAACTCTGGCGGCCAATGGAAAGTCAGCGGACTGCAGTGTTGAGGAAGAACCTTGGAAACGTGAAAAATAATGACCTGACTCTCAGCCAATTCTTGAATAAACTCCCCAGCGTATCTCATGGTAAAAAGATGCTCTAAACAGGCTTCCTTTATGAAAGGAAAAATGCATATATTTCTATGTTTACTTAATCTGTTAGCCGAGGCTTAGAGGAGCTGTTGTATACCCGTGATGACAGGCACCGTGCTGTGTCTTTGCCAAATAATGCTTCCTAACTGTCTAATTCTCTTACTTGTGTTATTGTCTGAATGGATGCTGCTGGAGAAGCCACTTTGAACAGAAGACACGTTCTTGCCAGCTTCCCTTTGTCCCAGTGCAGAGCTGTGGATGCTGTTTTCCCAGGGGGACAGGACGAAAGCAGTGTGGTACACTCCAGGGACTTGAGACACCGAGCACGCTCAGTGTGGTATTTTTTAAAGTGTTCATGGCTCACCTTGTTCTGCACAAAAGATTCTGCTAGAAGCTTCTAGAAGTTCCTCCCCTCCGACCTGTAGAGTTGGCACCTGCATTGATTGAGAGCATCTGTCTGTCGTAGGGAACGCTGATGACTTAACGTTTTTGTGTTCTGTCTAAGTCAAAGACTTCTGAGTTTCAGTGGGTGCCCACACTTTCAGAAGATAGGTGACCATGGAGCCTAGAGATGCTCTGCCTTCCCTATTTGTGTGTGTGTGTGTGTGTGTGTGTGTGTGTGTGTGTGTGTGTGTGCGCGTGAAAAATGGGGAATTTAAAATTTGAAACTGAACCAGGAATTATTTGCATATAACCACTGTTTACCTTGAGAAAAGTAAAGGAATGTAGTCAACCTAAATTTTAATGAGACTTAAATATTCAAACTCACTTGTTTGACTTGCATTCAGAAAGCAAAGTGAAGTTAAGTGTGATTGTCTGATCTGTTTCTATTTGTTTAACTCATAAGATTCTCATTTGAGTTCCTAACAAAAAATATTTTCAACATCCAAATCACTTCCATCACATTCTCATCCATCTACACGGCTGAGCATTTTAGCTTCCTCGCACAAAGGCACACATGTTGGCTATGCCTCTTTTCATATCATTTTGATATATAGTATGTAGGAAGTGTTCCATTATATAGAAGGCCTGAAAACCATCACAGGATACATCTCCATGAGAAAGGAGCAGAAAACAAACCTCTCTGTAAAATCCTGTAAAGGTGATAGACCTAGGACAGAGTGCAGGAGTCTCAAACCATCAGTAGGGACAAAGACTGGCTCCACACAGCTTCCCAGACAGAACCTTTCCCAAGGGCTGTGAAAGTCTGAAGGAAGAAATAATATAATCGTCACAGCATGGTGGTTTGCCTGTGGTACACAGCCAACGAGCCCTTAACGATCGGTTGTACAAGCTAACATTGTGGATGTCTCCACTATTATTCTTCTGTTGAATAACCCACAGTATTTTCCTAAGATCTCTGGGTTTAAGGGTTAGCTGGGAACTTGAATCACTGAGAAACAAAACATATTTGACTCTAAGGAGCAGATGGAACCTGGCCCATGGGGCAGAGTACATGTGTCCTCTGAGGCAAGTAGAGTTGGGGAGACGTTCATAAATAGTAATAGGATGCAGCATCTCTGAAAAAGGTTACTGAGACATTGCCTCTCCTTTTAGCCTCTCTTGTAACTTCTCTCCTTCAAATCAGACTGCTTGTGAACATACAAAAGACAAGAGATTCCTGTTTTTTTTTTTTTTTTTTGTTTTGGCTTTACTTTGTTTTGGTTTTAATCTCATAAACCTTGTTTTTAAATAAGGATCACTATGGAGCAGTATTAAGTGAATTGTTTTGATTTGGTTTTTGGCTTTTGAAACAAGGTCTTGCTATGAAGCCCAGGCTAGCTTCAAACTCATAACCTTCCTTCTCAGCCTCTGTCCTAAAGACTATGTGGGCGCCACCATATCAACTGGCAGGTGGTGTTTGAATGCTGATTGTTTCACCTTCATTTGAGGGACAGTTAATAGGGTAGCAAGGACAGACAATGAATCCCTTATAGATGATAAGAGGGACCAAGATGATAGTCTTCGGTTTCGTTGTGGTATTCTAGACAGTCTGTAAGTGGTACCTCACCAACCCTGGTGGGGGTTCTTTCCTACCCTGAGTAGATGTGTCTAGGGAAAGCATCCAGGAGCACACTTGGTTTGCTATGTGTGTCGGGGGAGGCCATTCCGTACAATGGTTCTCCTCGTACGGAAGACCACCTCGATACTTGTACATGACCTTTTCTCACAAGCACTCACAGGATGACAATGTGTGTTGTCGCCTCATATTCTGTCTGAAAATCTTTCTAGTTTGTTTTGCCTTCAACTTGTCCCTGGCTGTCCCGTTAACCTGTGTAAGAGGCCAGTGTTCTCAGGGGAGCCAAGGCACACTGCTTCGCTAGTCAGCTTTTGCTGGTTTCTGACTACATGCATTGACTCATGAGTGTATGCTAAGGAAATCACATTTATCTGGAAATTGAATAAATTATATTGAAAATATACAATCCATCAAATTGGAGACTGCCCTGAAAACTTAGGATGTGGGTGGAACTGACATATGACTATGTCTTGTTTTTGTAAGGCCTCATTCATCCTTCCCATGACATACCCACTGGGGATTCCGTTGCCTAGAAAAGGTGCCATAAGCAGAACAGACAGATCCCAAGTTCATTTTAATAGCCTTAGTCTAAATAGGGTACCTGTCACTGTGCGTGTACTATCCAGCCATTGTAGATCTGAATGCCTAATCTTTTATGTGTAGTTCTCTCTCTCTCTCTCTCTCTCTCTCTCTCTCTCTCTCTCTCTCTCTCTCTCTCTCTCTCTCTCTCTCTCTCACACACACACACACACACACACACACACACACACACACACACACACACTGTATGTGACACAGTGTCACATACACTAACTCCAGGGAGGTTTGAATGTTGGGGCCTTGCTATCCCTAGTCCTTAAACGGATGCAGTTGATACTTTTGAAGAATCAAAATCAGAAGCAAACCAACCAAGCAGACATTCATTCTTTCCTTTCTCATCCTTCCCCTTTGAGAAGCAAGAGGAATCATTATCCAGCTATTGATAAAAATTCAGCAAAGCCAATCCAGTCGGTGAATAGGATGGTTGTTTTGAAGGTGGAGCTTAACTGTAGGTTTCTGAGGGTGGCCTCTCCATAGGCAGCATGCTAGAGAATATGGAAAGCCATCATGAGCTAGGCACACAAAACCTCAGTGAAGTCCTGAGGTGATTTTAGGACCACAGGGGCACTACCAGATTCTGTTTTTTACTTCCTGTTGGGTATAGAAAAAAGCCTATGTGGCCTCATTGCCTATAGAAATGTTCATGCTCCATCAAAGACAAATGGCCATTTCTCCTGTCTCTAGTAGCTTGGACATTCACAGAGTGAAGGGGTATCAAAATGTCCCTGGGTGAAAACGAAGCAAGCAGAGAAGCGGGTAGGAAGAATTCAGTTTGTGGAGCAATTCCTGCTGGGGGATGATGGGGATCTCAATGTTCAGCTGATTGGATCTCGGGTAATTTCCAGCCATGGCTGGAAAATCATGCCACATGCAGGTGCGTTTAGTTGGAGGCCCTTTTAGCCCTGATTGATTGGGAAACTTATCTGTGGGGTCCCCAGAAGAAAACTCAACCCTGCCTTGCTTTTACAAATAATCTCCCCTTTGTCCTCCAAAGCAAAAGTTTACTGTAACTTTTCACTTTTGTCAGGACCCAGGCTCTTGCCTAAGCACTATTTCCCTCATGCAACAGAGCAATAAATTCAAATAGGTGTTCCCATGCCTCTGACTCGGAGAGACAAGTCTGAGCAGCTCTGGCCTTTGATGACTACAACTGCAGCAGTTACACCCCAGGGCGGCTCTCCCAGCTCCTGCTCTCTGTCCTCTGCCTTGCACTTTCACTCTGCCTGATTTCCAGCTGAAGTCATTGTAGACCAGAAAGGAGGACCGGATGGGATTTTTGGGTACGGGGATACTTACAGGACTCCAGGGCCAAGGGTCACAGGAAGATGAAGTTAAATTGTCTGAAGTGAGGGTTTCCTAAATCAAGTTGTCACTGAAGATTCGTGGTCTTGGCACCTATCATAATTTCTGGCTAAACCCCAAAGAAGGGTCACTGCATGCCAACCAAGCCAGGAGGCAAAGGTGACAGCTATTTTTCCATGGGTGGAGTGAGATAAAACCTGCTCAAAAACACTGGCCGGTTTAGGATTTTCCCTAAAACTCTCTTTCCAGTTCATTGCTCCCTTCTTTCCCTTTCCTTCCGTCTCATTGCTCAACAGACAGATAGTAAATGGCCATATGGTTATGTGGGGGTTGGTTCGGGAGGAGATAGCAGATCTTAATTGAGTAATATCCAGTCTCACTGCCTAAACCATAATTAGGCAACGACACAGGGATGCTTAAAAACAACGTGCTTTGGGAGAGGAAGCATTTGGCTTAGACACTGCTCACTTGTAGCTGAATGGCTTACACAAGCCACTGTCTGCCCATTCTTCTTTGGCTTCTGTATGAGAAGAGAAGGGACTGGACCAAATGACTGAAGTCCCCTTCTATATCTGCACATGCCATTTTCTAATCTCTGCTTCACTTCCTTCCATCTTCAAAGGCTTCCTTCTCTAAAACCTGGCTTTTTATATTTTAAGTTGTAAAGACACACAATAATGAATGATCAGTTTAGATGTTTTTTTCCTCATCCCCTTTGGGAAAACTCTAACTCAGGCCTCTGTTCATTCCACGCTTTACAACAAGCTTGGAGAGTGGCCATTTGAGCCCATAGTTTACTGCTGTCTTGAGATACCAATAAACATCCCTTTGTAAAGATTCCTTTAACCTACACTCACTGTCCTCACAGGAGCAGTGATTCTGCCCTGGGAAATGTTCTGCAGAGTCACCGTAAGGGACCAGGCACCTCACAGCTGCACTTGAGGCCTTGCATCATACCTGCTATGGCAACAGAGCCCACTCCAAATACTCAGCCCACATCATTTTCCCCAAACAGTCCTAATTGCCAATCCTGGATGGGAATTTGGGAGGCTCTGGCAAACAAGCTTGAACACTCCTGACATTTGGTGCAAGATTTACACAACCACAACCACAGCAACCGTCTCCACATACCTTTCCTCCGCATGTGTGCAGACATGTATATCCATTCCTGAGCCAGGGAGATGAGCCTTTCCTCTGGGGAGATGTGCAGGCAGATTTGATTCATTTCATTCGAAACCTTTCCTCTTGGTTTGCTTACATAACAGACATAACATTGTAGGGAGAGATGCTGCCACTTATAAGACAGGAGTTTTCCCATTTGCTGGTGCCCTTTTTGTGCTCACAGAGTCTCCAAGTAGTTAGAAAGTTGCGAGGTGGCTTATCCTCTCTGCTTCTGTTGTAGTAGGCCATAGTTGGCATGTTTGCCCTCTGACCAAATGTCTGCTAGAGTGGAGTTGACATATCATAGTGTGGTGAACATCTTCATTGCCAGAAAAGATTTCAGCTCTTCAAGTTTAGGAGAGAAAGGTGGAAAACTAGGTCTAATAGGGTTAATTTTTGTTGGTGGTGGTGATGGTGCCCCCCACCCCGCCGCCCCGCCCCGCGAGGTGGCAGAAGGTCTAGAGCAAGAGCAGAAAGACAGTGTTTCTTCATTGACCCACTTAAGGTCACTCTTGAAAAGTGAGAGGTGAGGTTCCTGGGGATAAACTTCACACTTATCTACCCAGAATCATTTCCCATCAGCATTTTTTTCTACACCAGTCTCCCAGTCTTGTTTTATCTTTCAGCCTGTGATCCAGTTACCCATTCTGGTATTTTTGGAAGTCTTTCTGGTTGTATTTTGAGGAGCTTTTGTGCTGAGAATAAAATCTACTGTTGGAACAGAGTTGTGCTCTGCAGAGTCAGCACACGACCTAGACAATGGGTGGCAGCGTATCTGGGTTCCTCTGGTGACACCCCCAATCCCCGGATGAGCTTTGGAACCAACAACCGACTGTTGTTATCCTTGTCATCATCCTCTGGGACACAGGGATGATGCAGTCAGAGCCTTGCTTCTTCTGGTCTCCGTTTCTCCTCATGGCAACCATTTACCCTGCCGGGAAATGGCCTGCTGCCTTTGGTAGGGGAGAGATACACTCAGGAGCCAAGGAGGTTGATCAAACATATCCTGAAGGTTTCTGGAGCCAATTCCCTAGTAAACACAGTACAAAACTCGGCTCCCTGGTGGCTTACTGCTCCATATTTCACTTCCTGTCTAAAAGCCTTTGGCACCCAGATTCTTCTACAGTTCCCCTCAACCCTTTCCTCTTCCTTCCTTCCTTCCTTCCTTCCTTCCTTCCTTCCTTCCTTCCTTCCTCCCTCCCTCCCTCTCTCCCTCCCTTCTTTCCCTCCCTCCCTCCCTTCCTCTGTGAGAGCTCAGCATCCCATCTCCACACCGCACAACACAGACCAGATCATCTGGTCACTACAGAGATTTGTATATATTAAAACAAACCTACTTTTTGGAGAATCTTTGTATATTCTTTTCTATTTGTTTTCTACCACTTGAGGAGAGAGCTGGCAAACTGTGAATCTAATTTTATCTTGATGCCAGCAGATATATTTTAGATCCTGGGAAGAATCTGTGTTACTAGGGACAACATATCGCCCTCTGATCAGTATTGCACCCCAAATCTACAAAGTTACTTTGGCCCAATCTTACATTCTTTCTTACACGAATCTCCAAAGTCCTTTGCTATTATTTATAAAGAGAAATATTTATAGTCCTGGATATTAATTACAAGTTTAACCTTAATTTAGCCTTTAATAATGTTGTGCATATTTGTATCTATTCTTCAAAAATCATAAAGACTCAGAGTAGGCTGAAATAATCTATTTAGTATCTGTAATTTTTCAGACAGATATTTTCTTATGATATTTTCTATACAACCACATAGATAGAAGTCTAACTAATTAGAGCACAAGTTTCTATAGCAATTTAGGGGTATCAACTGTTTCCTGAGCATACAGCTGCATTCGAGAACTTTAGGAACTCAGTTCTTAATGACGCCATGAGTAACACGACAAACTAAGACCAAGGAATTGCTTAACCCCCTTAGGTAGTTAGGATATGCATCCGGACAGTTAACCCTCCGATATCAAGTGACGGTGCTGACTTCTTTTCTTCCAGCACCAAACCTTGTTTCTCCAACCAACCATTCTAATTTTACTTTCTCATAAGATGAATAAAGGCCGGTGCTAACGGTGGGATCATTTCTATACCAGAATCTCCCATGCATTCCTAAATGTTTATGTGAAGATTGGCCTAGGAAAACGTTGAGTAGGAAAGACTGGAGATGAGTGGTAAGACAAGAATTTGGGACAGGTTTGGTGCCGTTTTGAGTCTTGCCAAGAAAATGAGAGCAAAACCTCACATTGTTATATGAATTGAACATATATTTTTAAAGGAAATTAAAGACAACATATTTTTAGTACCCGCTCAGAATCTGTGCTGTGTCACTGGGGGGCTGGAGGTGGGAGTTAGAGTCACACTGAGATTATTTAGAATAAACCCAAATAGATTATCCTCAGGTAGACATCAAACTATGTAACCTTCCCATAAGGTACACCAGTAGCCACGGAAAACACAAGGTGTCTTTCCTCCGCCAAACGCACTCTCTGAGATGGCGGCAGGACTAGTATTTTACCGCGTGTGAAAGGGTCGTCCATTCCATCGAACACATACTAGGATGTATTTGAACCTGCTCCTCATTCAGCGAACAGATTAGACATGCCCTCAACTGGCTAAGATTGTATCTGTTTTCAAGTACAGCTAGCGATCAGAGCATGACATTCTTGTGTGTACACACTGACACTTGGTTCATGCATGAAGACAGTGCCTATGCACTTTGTGTAGCGATAACGTAGGTATTTGTGCGTAATTTCAGTGAAATGGTGTATAGATGTAATTTAATTTAAATATTGTTCTTGGCTGTTTATCTAAATGCAATAGATACGTTGGTTGCCATTTGGAACCCCCCCCTTTTTTTTTTCTGTCTTAGGTATCTCCTAGGGGTTATTTCTCTTTCTTAATGTGATCTGAGTGAAGAACTTACTGATGATTGTTTGCAAATTTTTGTATTCTGCACCTTTGTAAATACAGCCCCAAGCAGGGATGGGGTTGAATGTGTATCTTGCCACACAGTGAAAGGTCATCCATCCTATACCCGCATCCCTTCCACTCAGTGCACCTGTGGAACTTGAGGTTGTCAAGGCTGAGGGAGGTTTAGAATGAGGACATTCATCTCCGGTCCTCCCTCACCAGTGGCCTGGTCTTAAAGAGACAAAAGAAGGGGGCCTCCATCTGCCCCTTGGCATGTTTGAGTCATGTCTTTGGGATAGGGTCAACCTCTCTGGTTGTCAGATCTTCATCAGGACATGATGCTCATGACCTAAGATTCTGAAGAGCCTCGTTCCCCTTGACTTCTTGAGTCAGAATACAGGAATGCACTCACTGATTGGCTGCCAGGCAGGTGATTACCCCTCCCCGCAAAAGCACAGTTCTGGCAGCATTGCACATTTGTCAGAAAACAACAGAATACTAGAAGCACAGCAAGGTCAGGGGCCAGCCTTGACAAGAGCAGAGGACCAACCACTGATGCACTGATCCCAAGTATGTGACAGGAGTCTGATCTCCTCTACCCAGTATGCTCTGTTTGTGTGTGCGAAGTGGGTGAAAACGAGATTAACAAGGACAATTCGATGCTGATGCCCAAACCACACTCCTCCTCATTCTCACTAAGTACCATGCTGTGAGGTCTGTAGTCCCTGTGACCCCTTTCCTCTCCACAAAGATAGAAGGAAGAGCAACTGCTGGAGAGTGCCCCTCCCCTTCTCAAAGATCATGAAGATGTGAAGCACATTCATTTCCAGGGGCTTCTCCAGATGTGTGGAGTGAGGGGATGTGGTGACTGGGTCCTTCAACTTCTGCATGAAAAATGTACTAAAAGGAAAATAGACTTGAGGCAGTATTATCCTGGAATGAAAGTTAAGATTAATGGTTTCCCTCAAGTTCACAGTCCCCATTGGTCTGATGTCATGTAGCATAGTGTATCTATAATAGCACATGGTATTTAAAGACTAATGTATGCAAAAAGATGAGAAACTCAACTAATTTGGGGATTGTTTCTTCTATATGGTACTAGGAAATACCTTGTTAGCAAAGCACATCTTGGGTAGTTGAGGTCTTCCATGTTTGTCTTCAGCTTTTTTTTGTGATATGGATTGATGACTGTAACATTTCATATGTAAAATAACTGGATATTCTTCATTTGCTGGAAATAACCTGTGAATCCAATCTTTCACTAAGTGTTTTAACTTCCTTGTATATATATCTCTCATCAATAAATGTGAATTCCAATTTCTCTTGGTGGTTGCCTATTATTGACTTCTCACTTTATTCTTTAGTTACAGAGTGTTAGTTACATCTTTAGTGATCTTTGTGGTAGGAAGATCACCAAATTAGGGACTGAAGTCTATAGCATTACAAAGACACAGTTTTTGGAAGACCTCAGTATCCAATAGTCATGTCTAATGAAGCAGAGCTAGTGGAGTGGGATATTGGGATGTGTCATTGGTGAACCAGCCATGACAGGTTAGCCTCTGACCTCAGAGGCTTCTAAAACCCCTGTATGCATCTTATTGGGGCAGCATATCAATCCCTGCTTAGCTAGAATCACTGCTCCTCCCTGTCCTCATCCAGGGAATGTCTTAGTCCTCATTGGGGGCTTCTCTGGAACATCTGACATGAATACATGAATGAGGAAATGACATTTGTTTGGGGTCATTTTCTGGGAGGTTGAAATGTCTGAGTTCAGGTGGCTGTGGTCAGTAAGGGCCTCATAATGTCATAGCGTGCAGGTGGCATCACATGGAAGAATGGAAAGCAAGAGTGGCCAGTGGAGTGTGCAGAAGAGGACAAACACAAGGAATAGAACACACCTTGTGCAATAACAACCTGTCCGGAAGGTAACCAGTCAAGTCATGTGGTACCTAACCCGCTCCCTACTAGCAGACAGTGATCTCTGAGCATGATATCCCGAATGACCTAATCATTTCTCACTGCATCCTACCTCTTAAAGGTCCTGAGACCTCTCAACATTTTCACACTTAGGACCAAGCTTCCAGCACATTAACCTTGGGTAGAAAAGATCTACATACAAACCACAGCAGGAAGTATGAGGGAGACCATTTCCATGTTTACCAACACAGGCAAAAAGAAAGACAAAAGAGCCCACACCCACCCTCGGTGTTTCCCCTGAATGCTAGCTACCTCAATTCTGCTCGTGGTTCAATGGCCAGAACAAGTGGCACAGCTCTGCCCAACTTCAAGGGGGCAAGAAAGTGCAACTTCATCAAGTGCATGGCAAGAAACTAGAAGCGAAATTTTTCCTTGAATTCCCTAAACAGTCCATAAAAGACATAGTCAAACAGTTTCTTAGTATTCTAACACCGCAATCTTTTTTAGTCTTGTAAGAACAGTTATCCCCAAGGAATTACATGGTGAACATTATAAGGTCATGTTAGAGAAATAAACCCAAGGTCTTCAATGGAAGGATTGCTAAGGACACGTTGAGGTGCTTATGCAGTGGAAGTCCACCCAGATAGTGACAGGTTCACGTTTCACACCGCAGGGCACCCGCTGATAGATGGGATCGATTCGTTCTCCTCCATTCTTGGGAGAGGGAAGAGGCTCAAAGCTGATACTGAAAAATCAAAATTCATAGATGTGACACAGCATAATTCTTGTCACTAATGATGACAATTTGCTTAAATTGTTGGTGAGAATGAACACTTCTTGTGATGTTTACTTCCCTTGGCGCTAAGTCTGTTTCTCATCCACATGCATCATGTCACCCCCCCCCAAAAAAAAAAAATCTCAGTTCCAGAAAACAAGGCGAACAGTACATTCCTGGGATGTCATTTTTCTTCAGGATGGCAAACAGCCAAAACCAGAGTCAAAGTTTTTCAACATTTAGAGTAGATACAAATCAGCCAAGGTCAGCCAGTCCTTCCAAGGATGACAAAGAGTGGGAGAAACTTGAGTGGGGCCAAGATCCCATCACTCTTGGGTCATAGGTGGGAATCCATCCATTTGTGTGGGCCCAGGGTTGCTTTGGCACTGATGAAGACGCAAGGGAAGAAGAAACACTCATTTGGGGTGAGTATAAAAGGAGCAGTTGTAGACTGGGAGTTAGGACACTGAAGACTTCTGCAAGCATGACTGTTAGGTGCTGTTCCTGGAGGAAATGCCTGAGATAAATCCACCTACAAAGAGAAAAGACTTCTTTGGCTCAGTTTTGGAGGCCAAGGTCAGTCGATGTTGTTGCTTTGGGGCCTGGGGCCGTGTAGCACAACATGGTAGGAAGCACTGGATGAGGCCAGAAGCTTCACACCTTATGACCAGATTGAGAGTGAGAAAGAAGAGTGTGGGCAGGCTCCCACCCACACTCACCTTCAAGGGCATACCCTAGAGGGTGAAAGGCTCTTGGCAGACGCACACTTCAGAGTTTCCATGGGTTTCTATTGTCCCAAGCCTTGAATACACAGACCTTTAGGAGGACATTCCAAATCCAAATTTTAATAGTAGCCAAGTCTTTAGGACATTTGAAATAATGGGCTTAGTTTAGAAAACCTCTAAGCTTTTAACAATGAAGTTTAATGCTTTCATCTAGGTAAGCTAACTACATACATATATGTGTATAATGTATATGCATATACATCATATTTGTATATATTATGTGCACATATATACTATACATATATATGTATAACTTATTATTACAGGATAAATGTCACCTAAATCCGAGCCATAATGCTACTTAGAATGCAAGCCTATGTGACCCTCTTTTTCCCCATATCCTCACCTGCCCATTCAGCTGCTTACTTGCATGTTGACTATTCTTTGGCTTCTTCAAAAATAGTTTGGGACTAGGGAGATGGCTCAGTAGGTAAAATACTTGCTTGCAAGCGTGAGGACCTGAGCTTTGATCCCCAGCACCTACATAAAGAGCCAGGCATCATGGTATATACCTGGAACACCAGTATGGGGGAAATTGAGAGAGGAAGATGCCTGGAGTTCATGTGCAAGGCAGTCTAATTGAATTAGTGAACTCCAGGGAGAGACTCTGCCTCAAAAAATAAGGCAGAGAACCATAAAAAAAAATACCAGTCATACTTGATATTGACCTCTGGCCATGCACACACGAGAGAGAGAGACAGAGAGAGAGAGAGAGAGAGAGAGAGAGAGAGAGAGAGAGAGAGAGAGAGAGAGAGAGAGAATGAGAATGAGAATGACTAGAGTTTCCTGATTGAGGTGAGCAGAGGAAGAGCCAAGCTCACCCACAATCTCTTTTAAAAGCACACCCTTGTGACCAAACTAAACACCTAAACTAGCTTTGGGTCCTTACAAAAGGAATCCAGGCCACATGTAATCTTCTTAGCATGCTTTTTCTCTCTGCTTAGCACAGTCTTTCTCAGATACCTGGCACTTGTGTATTTTCACTGGTAATATGATACCACATGAAGTATGCCGAGTCTTGCTACTTGACTTCCTGCCAATGGATATTTGCCTCATTTCTAGGTCATTCTTTGTGTCAAGTGGAGCTGATGTGAACATCCATCTGTATTGTTTGTGTTTGTGCCCAGGAGGCTTTGGTGTGTGCACTCTTGAGACATACTAATAATAGTGATGCTGCTGCTTATGATGATGATGCTGATGCTGATGATGCTGATGAAGCATGTGTATGTGCAGCTGAAGAGCTCTTATTCAGACTCTCCAGGGCCTCCTCACTGGGCCCACTGTAGGCCACCGTCAGTGCACCTTGGAATCAAAATACTGCTGCCAATTCTCCAACAGGGACACTGAGTCATGCAAAGACATTAACAGGAGGGGAGCTAGGTTTAAAAGATGAGGTCCCCTTTCCTCAGACTGCATGGGAGCGCACTTGAGATGTGCTAAAGGAGAATGGAGGAGCCAGGCAGGCCCTTCTTGGTTCTTAACATCTTCGCTGAGCAATAATGTGTGAGGCCTCATGGGCTCCGCCCATTAGCAGCAGGCTGTTCACTGTGATGTGAATTGCCATTGACAGAGGAGTCACAAAAAACCCTTCTACCTACCCAAGAGTCACCAATAGCTCCTCCACTACCCTCCAGCAAAGTATATAAACTATGTGTTTTAGAAACCACAGAAAATTATTTATTGTTCTCAAGGTCGGACCTCTGAGTCCAGGGGACATGATGGATTCTGGGGCAGATCCCCATGAGGCTGGAATGCTGTTATCTTCTTTTGTGTCTTTATATGGAAGACAGAGGACAAGAGAGATCCACAGTGTCCCTTTAACAAGGCTACTAATCTCATTTGTGAGGGTTCCAGCCTCAAGACCTAATCACTTTGCAAAGGCTCCACCTGTTAGTGCCTTCAGTGTGGCCTTTAGGATTTGGGGAAAACACGACCACTAGGCTTATTGCAACCTTCCTGCCCCAGGGTGGGGGGTGGTAAGCCCTAAAAGACAGTGGCCTTGAAGAAGATGCACTGTGGTGTGACTGCCCCTGAGCAGGAACCTGTAGCTATCTCCTTCCAAGCATAGTAATGTAAAGAGGAAGTGTGGGCTCCGCACACTGAAGAGCAGAATCACACAAGACAGGGTCCAGCTAGCTCAGGTCTCGTCAGAAGTCTCAGCCCAGGCAAGAAGGCCAGGAGATTGTGCTGCCTATGCAGATGACATGTGCCATATAAGAGTGAAGACTGGGGAGTCCCTGGCAAAAAGGAAAATTTAGCTTTAGTGTCTTCCTGGTAGTTTTGAAAGTTGAGTTAATTCATCCCCTCGCTGAGGCAGTGAGGGCCCATAGATTCCCTGTCCTTATAAGAAAAACAGAGCTAAAGTCAGGATCCTGGTCCGTGAAGCTTGTCCAAGTGATAGGAAATGACAGAGCCAACCATGCTCCCAGCGGAATGATGTGTTCCGCAAAGCAGACAAAAAAAAAAAAAAAAAAGTTTTCCACTGCTCCTCCCTCCTGCTTCCCTGAGTCAGAAGGAATATGCAAAACCTCAAAGTCTTCCTCTGTTGCTTAGGGTAATGCGACCTGAATTTTTCAAACATTGTCTGGAAACAATTTAGTAGCTTCCAGTTAAGGGAAAATGCAAATATAGAATGATTGCCCTCATTGGTTGCAAAACTTGCCTCTGTGGAGCCTCTCCCTGGCTTCTGGCAGTCCTCAGATGTCTTCTGGGCACTGGTGGCATTATGCTCAACAGAGGGAGCAGCCACGAGTCTCCAATTGGCCTCCAGCTGAGCAGAAAGGTTTTTTTTTGTTGTTGTTGTTTTGTTTTGTTTTTTTATTTGTTTTGGGTTTTTTTTTTGTA